TTATATCGAAATATCGGTATTATAATATTTTTATTTCTTTATCCTCGTTATAATATTTTTATTATATATAATTATGAAATTACAACTTTTACTATAACATATATATGAGGAGAGATCAGTTTTTATTGAGTAATAGACATTAATACTTAACCTTTGAATCAGTAACGGATTTGTTTCATTTCTTCCATTGTTAAAAGTAATTATTAACAAACTTTAATTTAATGAAGTTGAATTACTACTACTTTGTAGTTTGTATAGTATAATTCTTTTACCTTATATATAAATGTGTGTGTGTTCTTTTACTTGTACAACATATAGGGAGAAAAAAGAACAAAACAATAGTAGAGGCATTAGTGAAGGATAAACGATAGGGAAAGAGTATATGCCAGAAAAAAATGTAATTCAATGGTTATTTTAATTTCTTTTTAATTTTCATTTCATTTTTATTTTATTTACTAACAATTATAGAAAATATGTTTTAACTTTTATTTAGATTAAAAGAAATTGAAAGGGTCAATTGCCAATAAATGCTTGTATGTATGTGTAATAATTTACTACGAAATATTTGCTATGTACAATAGAAATGAAATTAATTAAAGGATATATATATTATAGCTTATTGCTTAAGAATACATTCTCTCTTTTGTTCAATATTAATTGTTAAGTTTAGCAAAAAAAAATTATGTTGATATTTATCTTGATAAAATAATATAATTAGAATAATTAATGATGTTACTCCCTTATTTTGATTTTTTTGTAACCATTCTTTAAAATTATTTAAAATAAATATAACTCAATTATAACTTGACAAATTTGCCCTTTTTTGTATTAATTTCTTCATATTAATGCATACTATTAAAAACATGACTTATTTAATAAATACTTTGAAAATAAATCAACACAAATAAGTTTATACTATAATATATAATATAAATATATATAAACGTGTTCTTTTTTTACCAAACAAAGATTCACACTTCTTCGTATTCTTTATATAAGTCATTTTTTAAAAATAATGTGAATTAATATGAAGAAATTAATATAAAAGGATAAAGTTGTCAAATTATAATTAATTTATATTTATTATGATTACAAAAGAAATCAAAATAAGAAAGGTATACCTAATATTGTAAATCACGTAGGTAAGTTTTGTAAGGTTATTCCTTAAAAATTTAATCGGACAAATTCCCTAGTTTTAGTATAAAATATAAAATATAATACGATATTGGTTTGTTTTCCATTTTCCACTACCTCATCAGTTAGCTTTGTGCTTTGAAAGTTCCATTTTCAAGTTTCCAATCTGAGAAAAACAATGATGGCAGAGTCGTCGCCGGTACGTTTTGGCATATTAGGTTGCGCTAACATAGCTCGTAAAGTATCACGCGCCATCGCACTTGCTCCAAACGCCACTATCTCCGCCATCGGCAGCCGTTCGATCGAAAAAGCGACGGCGTACGCCAAGGAAAACGGGTATCCGTCAACGACGAAGATTTACGGCAGTTATGAGGCGGTTCTGGATGATCCGGAAGTGGATGCAGTTTATGTTCCTCTTCCGACGAGCCTGCATGTGAAGTGGGCCGTGTTGGCGGCCCAGAAGAAGAAGCATGTTTTGCTGGAAAAGCCTGTTGCGTTAAACGTGAAGGAGCTGGATGTGATACTGGAGGAGTGTGAATCGAATGGGGTGCAGTACATGGATGCTACTATGTGGATGCATCATCCGCGTACTGCTAAGATGAAAGAGTTCCTCTCTGATTCTCAGCGTTTTGGACAACTCAAATCGGTAATCTTCTGATTTTATTTTTGAACTTTTTTATTTTTGTATTAAGTGCTGATAAATGGATCTGAATCATTTGGAATACTGTTTTAATCTCCTGATGTTAAACTCACAAGTGAAAAGTTAGAAATTAAAGAGTTGTTAAAAATGTAGCGGTTTAAAAAAGAACAAATTGAAACATAACCAACGAGGGTTGTGGTGGAGTGAGAGTTTGGGTGGAGTGGTAAGTACTCATTCATACTTAACTAGAGGTCTTGGGTTCGAGCCCTTCGATACGTAGTCGCACTTTAGCCCAATGTGAGACTTGGGCGCGAATTCAGATTTAGTCCGCCTCCAATGTGGATATCAAACACCCAATGTGAGACTTTTCAGCGCGAATTCGGATTTAGTCGGCCTCCAATGTGGGTATCTGGGTATCGAACACCTAATGTGAGACTTTTCAGCACGAATTCGAACTTAATCGGCCTCCAATGTGGGTATCAAACACCCAATGGAAAACAAAAACAAAAATTCAAACAGAAACAGAGGGTACAAATTTAGGTGTCTAGAGAAGAAAAGTAAAAATTGATGCAAAAAAATTGAAACTCTGAACAGAGTTGTGAGAACCCAAATGAAGTCTTCCTATAGGGATCCTTGAAGATGGTCTTTTTTTTTGTTGACAGGTACATAGCACATTTGCTTATCTTGGTGACACTGAGTTTCTTGAGAATAACATTCGTGTGAAGTCCGATCTTGATGCTCTTGGTGCTCTAGGTGATGCTGGTTGGTACAGTATTCGGGCAATCTTGTGGACTAGTGATTATGAATTGCCAAAAACAGTGACAGCTCTGCGTGATCCAGAATTTAATGAAGCTGGAGTTATCCTATCTTGTGGCGCTTCTTTGAGTTGGAAAGACGGAAGGGTAGCAACTTTTTATTGTTCGTTTTTAGCCAATATGGCCATGGATATCCTTGCTAGTGGATCCAAAGGAAATTTGCGAGTCCATGACTTTGTAGTTCCATTTCAAGAAAATGTTGCTCCATTTTACACTGTGGAAGGTTCGTGGGTTGGTGAACTTGCTACATCGATTCATCCTGCACCAAGTGAGCATCAAGTCAATACAGATCTTCCTCAAGAGGCTTTGATGGTAAATGAGTTTTCAAACCTGGTTGGGAGTATCAAAGGGAAAGGTTCTAAACCTGAAAAGAAGTGGCCGACGATTAGTAGAAAGACACAACTTGTGGTGGATGCTGTCAAGGCATCAATTGAGAAAGGTTTCGTTCCCGTTGAGATCATCTATTAACTAGTTGGTGTTTAGCTATCTTCCTTGTTAACTCTGAACACTATCTGTTGTTGTAACTGAATGTTGTATTTCTGAATAAGGCTTGTAAGTCTCAGTTTGTTCAGAGTGTGTATGTAATATGGTTGTTTGGAAATGAATTGGCCGAGCTAGTTTGAACAACTTGTATTTTCATGAAAAATAGCAGCCATCCCTTCCTCCCGGATCTCCACGGAACCGGACAAATTAAGGAACCGGGGAGGGAAGATCCAATCTCTCAGGTAGCCTTTAGAATGATGAGTAATATGTATGATCACGCTCAACGGTCTTGTGATGCCCCAATTTTCATTTTTATTAAAACGACTCTATAGATACCTTAGAATCTAATGTTCTGATACCAAAGTTTGCTGAATTCGTGTGATCTCTGACACACTATTCGATTCAATGAAAAACCCAAATGATAAATACCCCTAGCCATATGGAGTATTTGAAAATAATATACATTTTCAAATCTCGAAACCATACGTGAAGCCAATATGTATATGACTATATGGTCAGTGGATATAGTTGCTAATGGAACCAAAGGATATATGCAGGTTGAGTTGATAACTTAATAAAATCCATTGCGTTGTTGATTAGTTTTGCATCAAAATGATTAACTAATAAATTATTTTTTATTTGATCACATCAAAATTATCTTCCCTAAAATAAATCTGTCATATTCATATAGGATAAGAATCAATAGAATTTTAAAATATATTCCATTTCAAAAGCTTACCAACTCATATAATTGTCCAAATTTGAGTAAAGATGAATCAAAGTCGTATTTTGATTGTGCAACTTTTGAATATTTTTAATCAAATTGTCATCAAAGATCCTTTCAAATTTTCAAAAAATATATATTATTTTAATCAACTATTCCGCTAGATTATAAAAATAACTTACACGGTTTTTTTCTCTTTCCTAAAAGTGAGTTTGATATTGTTGTTCTTTTGTATGATGCGCTGCTTCAATTTAACATTAATGGTACAACAATTAATAATAATAAAAATCTAATTATTTAATTTTGAGCTTGCAAAATTATTTAATCTCAAAGTACAAGCTAAAGAATAAAAAGAATGCATCTTACCTTTGTACTTGGGAAATGCTGTTGACTTGTGTTTCTTTAACATTGATTTTAATTTTTATTTAACTACACTTCAAATCTGTCAAATTAAAATCTTAATCCTGCATAGGGCTTCTTATTGAACGATTTGAACAAATAATTATACTTAACAATTTAAGTTATCAAATATTGACTTTCCAATATGTTAATCCACTAACTAACCAACCAATAAGCTATCTATTGGTAGCTTATCAAAAAGCTATAGTAAAAATATATAAAAGACTAATTTTAAGAGTGCATCCACATAACTGGTTATATAACAAATATATACTTACTGTAAATCAAAAAAGTTTATTTAACAATTATACTTACAGTAAGAACATAAGTTCCATAATTCATAACAAGTTAATAATTTGTTACCCCATACTAGATAAGAAAATTAAATAATTCATTCACATCAATAAACTGTGAATTATAATATTCGAATGAGATTCTATTCTAGGAGAAATAAAACCTTTCTCAAGATCGAATCCAAAATTTCTAATTAAAAAAAAGAAAAGCAAACTCCATAGAAATGTGCCATTTAATTTTTTAAATATAAAAATGTGTCAAACTATTAGCCCCTTATCCTGCATCTATTTTGCAAACTAGATAAGACAAGCTTATTCAATGATCTAATTACACACAAAACTAAAAATAGAATAAAATTATCTCATATTTAATTTGTACATACAAGTGATCCATTTATTTAAAGGCCTTATACACACATACTATATACTATATTCACAAAGGCAAAAACTAGTAGTAGTAGAAGTAAATACACAATAGACATGACTGTACCAAAGTCCAAATCCAAAGTGATCTAAGCTATGCCTATAGCCTTAACATTTTTTGGAATTTGTTGTGTTTCTTTCTTGGGTACATTCACAGTTAAAACTCCATTTTCAAGCCCACAACTTATACCTTCCACGATGACATTTTCCGGTAGCCGAAATTTTCTGCAGAAACTGCCACGTCTACGCTCCACGCGGTGCCACTTGTCATCCCCTTTTTCTTCCTCTTTAACTCTTTCACCGCTAATCTCCAGTATGTTGTCATCTTCAATTTGCACCTTTAGATCTTCCTTCTTCACACCTGCCATTTGAAAAACCAATCCACTTGTTATAATTTCAACAAAATATTCCTTTGTTTCAATTTGTTTCTACCTTACTTAAAAAGGGATTCTAGTCTTTTTAAAACTCGAATTTCCCAATTCTTGGTATTCGCCTAATTTGTATAAATTCAAAATTTGTATAATTCAAATCCTGATGATATAAATCCAGTTTCAATTTGTTTCTTACCTTCCTTAAAAAAGGACTACTCTTTTTAGAACTCTTTAATTAAGAGTTTCCCAATTCTTGTTATTCTGATTTGTATAAATTTAAAATTTGTATAATTCAAATCCATGATATAAATCCAATTTCAATTTGTTTCTTACCTTCTTTAAAAAGGGATTCTACTCTTTTTCCAATTCTTAAAATTCAAAATTTATATAATTCAAATCCAGTTTCAATTTGTTTCTTACCTTCCTTAAAAAAGGACTCTACTCTTTAAGAGTTTCCCAATTCTTGTTATTCTGATTTGTATAAATTCAAAATTTGTATAATTCAAATCCATGATATAAATCCAATTTCAATTTGTTTCTTACCTTTATTAAAAAGGGATTCTACTCTTTTTAGAACTCTTTAATTAAGAGTTTCCCAATTCTTGTTATTCGCCTTATTTGTATAAATTCAAAATTTGTATAATTCAAATCGCTATTCGTATATAATTTTACCCTATTTGTATAGATTGACAAGTGAATAAAATTCTGAAAAATTTATATAAATCACAACCTTCATAGGAAAGGAAACTATAGCTATAAAGCACAATTATTAAAACTTTAACTATAAAAAGCAATTATGTCCATTATTCTCAAAAAAGTTATAAAGGGATTAGATGGTTAACCAGGAATATCAACACGAAAAATATGAGCTTGATCAGTTTCACGCCAATCCACACTTGCGTGGGCCAAAGCAGAAACATCATCGTCACCACCACGCTTGAAGCCCAATCCACTACCAAAGCCCAATTCACCACCAAAGCCCAGGCCCAATGGATCCCATACATCAGATGAAAATGGGCTTACAAAACCCATATCTGTACGCCGTCCACCACCCAACCATGGTCCTATTGATGATGATGCCATATTAATATATTTTTTTCAATAACAAATTCTTCTTAATTCCACTTAAATTAATTATTTCTTGCTTCTGAAAAGCAGCTAGCTTTATCTTCTATATATATACTAATACAAAATTATGTGTTTTGGTATCACTTGTATATTGTGTGTGTTGTTTGATTTTGCCTTAGCCACGTATTTATTTATATTTATGCCACTTAGCTATAGTGTTTTAATTTAATAGTTTGCTGAGTGACACGTACATTGAAAGATGAACATGAACAGAATTTTAGAACTTTGGAATGTTGTATTATTTAACTTTCCAGAATAAGTTTTGAACATACTCTTCCTCCGTTCACTTTTACATGTCACTTATTTCTAAAATAGATTTTCAGTTTTACTTGTTATTTTTGACATATCAAGAAAAAATAATTATTTTTTTCATATTTTACTCTTAGCATCAAATACTTATTCTCCAAATCATTTTTCAAAACTTTTCCATTTAATATGAATAGTTTAGTAAAATACCTATATCAATAATTATTTTTTATTAAATATGCCAAACTAAAATAGTGACAAATAAAAATGACGTATAACCAAGTGACAGCTTTTAGGGTCCAACGCAAGCATGTTCAACACTTTGGCAGTTCAGCCTGTGGGAATTGTGGCAATGATCCTCTAGACAAGTCCTTTTTATTTTTTATTTTATTTTGGGCAAATATCGTTTAGTCCATGATCATTGGTTGAATTAAATGAAGAGCAAATTTTAAGAAAAAAGATGTGATCAAAATTCAATAAATTTATATATTTGATCAATAATTGTTTCATAAATAGTATTGATTTGTATTAATGAATTGTATCAAAGACCATTGTATTCAATTACTTGATGCAAATAAGTTGTATCAAGTATATTAACAAATACAATCGTATCGTTGCTATAATTTGTAACAAATTATATTTCTATTCACATACATTTATGTTCATTTGTTGAATTGTGTATTGTATTTATGTATTACAATTTGTATTTGTATCATTGACAATGTTAGCATTTGTAATGGTAACATATATCACCTGCAATTCACAGTTATTTCCATTAAATAACATGAAAAAGAACACAGGTAACACTGGATTGAATCTAGTCTAATCCAACACTAATTTTCACATTGTCAAAGTTGAATCCCGTCACAAATATTAGCAAGAACATTTACAGGTTGAATTTTGCCAAAATCTGGAATTCCCTTGATTTTGTGAAAACCTATATCAGTAACAAAAGAAAAGAAAAGAAATGAAACAAGCAACCAGATTGATTATCATTAAATTGTTAGCTCAGAAACTGATCAGAAGATAAAGCTTGTATAATATTTACTTTGGCACTATTAAGGTAAGTTTCCATAGTTACAACATGAAAAGAAGGTAGGAAGAGGCCATTTTCACCCCCTCCGAGAGGGGGAAAAATAAAGCTAAAGCCAAGAAAAGCTTCACTGTCTGTCATCCGGAAAGGAGATGGATTGCGAGGATGTGATTTACCGAGCTTCTCCTAAATACATGAATCATCTGTACACTTGATCTGAGCCAAAAGGCTGAGAAAGATATTATGTACACCTCTCGGAGTTGGCAAACTATTCTCTCGAGTGTTGCATAAGCTCAAACCACTGCATGGGGGAAAATCAAGATCATGATTCAGTACTTGCGTTAACAATAACTCAATAAAACAAATCTAGGATTGAAAGAGAGCAATCGTTTGTTGAGATATATAGTCACCTGTCTTAATAAATCAGCAAGTGTCCTGGGAAGTGCTTCAATGTTTTTGAGCACAACATAATAAGGGAAGGGGAATGAATCCAAATATTTCGAAAGCTTAACATCTCCGCCCTGAAAGGTGGCTTCCTGAAAAAGGGTGAGAGAATCAATCATGTTGGGAAACTTTCTTACTTCAAGAATTATGAAAAGGTACAAGATGAAGAACCTAATGCAAAAAAAAAGGGAAGTTCAGTGGTTACCTCAAGGTCCAATATGGATTTCTGTAGGCTATCCACCACAAGAAACGCGACCATTCGCTTTTTGCTTAAGAGATCTCTGACATAGCGTTTCATGTTCTCCTACAGTAAAAAGTAAAATAGAATGTGTAAACAGTAATGTGAAAGGTGGCAACTTCACCGACACTTCACCAAAGAAATTTACCTTCTCATGAAACCAGCCATCAGCTATTATCAAAACAAGCTGCTCTAGAGGATTGTGTCCAGATGGTAGCCGGGCATTAGCAGCTGCAGCATCAAGCATGTCATTCAAGTACTTCAAAAGATCAACCATCGGTTCCTCTGCTATTGTGTTTTCTTGCTTAAAAGTCAAACTAGAGATCATCTGTATATACAGAAAACATCAACTATATATCAATCAACTTCTATCAAAATGACCCAAACCAATAACTGCGACAGATTGGGAGAAGCATGTATGTGTGAACACAGACGAACCTTGATACCAGCCTCTCCAGTGAATGACTGATCAAAATCGTGCAATACGCGAATGTTCCCCTTCTTACCAAAGCTTGCAACTGATAGCTGTCCTATTTCTAACTGAGACATTGCACGGCAAACAGTCACCAATGCTTCAATGGCTAAACTTCCACAACCGCTCTCAGACATGCTGCGGGAATCGTCCACGGCAATTACCACTTGGTAGTTCCGTTTGTTAGGCCGAGTTCTCCTAAGCCATATCTTATCTTTACGGTAATGACTTGCTATATATGGAATTACCTTCTTCATGTTAATTCTTTTCCCGGTCTTGTAATCTCCCTGGAGCTTGCTAGCTAAAGTCGGTTCCATTACTAAACGCAACTGTTCAGCCAATTCCTGAGACAACCTCGTAGTTCGAAGTTCATAATTTTTCCAGAGAGTTGTGGCACTCTCTCTCATCTCATTGGATACCACCTCAAGGTTACGGGCCTTGCCCAGGTCGTCATCATCTACTGAGAGCTCGCTAAGCCGATTTATGTCCTCAGACAAAAAGGTCCTGTTCACTGATACCAAACTCTGGGACAAACTAGGGACAGCAGTACCATCTCTAGTATCAACTTCAGATGGTGATTCCAGTTGCTCCTCAGTGTTCATCATCTCTGATCCCTTGCCCTTGTCATTGCTGAAACTTAAAGCAGAATTACTGATAGTATGTGCTTCAGTCTCAATCTCCATTTCAGAAATGTCATCTTTTCTCTCTGTAGTTACAGTTTCTCTTTCAAGATCGTTTCCATGTACATTTTTGTCTACTTGATCAGCTGTTGCTGGCCCAAGTGCTTGAGCTGTTCCCTTTTCAAATTCAGCAGTATATGAATATTCATTTGCATTTTCAGCAGCCAAATCATCTGGAGCTTCACTCTCCTGGAGATCAAGGGAGACTTTGACTCTGTCTTTCCACCCCTCAAGGGCATCACCCACACTACGACAAGGGTTAGGTTGAATCCTTTGATGTGATGAATCAGCTGGAGGTAAAGGATTTTCAGGTTGATCACTGCCCAGTTTTTGTCCATTTGAAGAATCAGAAGCCATGATTTCAACCATAGAGGCATCAGGAAAACCTCTCATGGGAGCAAGGTCATGTTGAAGCCCACTAACATCAGATCCCTTCGCTTCAGGAGCAGCATCTTTTAAATTTGCTTGATTATATTCACCTCTAGGCTCAGACGCAGCAGTTGGGACATTATCACTCACAGATTGAGAAGTGTCCGATTGCAGCATCTCTCTATTTTCTGTTGTTGGTTCCTTTTTTGTGTCATTTGCAGGATCACCTTCTTCACCAGCTCCTCCAGAACTTTCCTCCAAATGCTCAGGGTCTGCCTCATCAAAAGTTGCATCTGAATCAGCTCTTTCATCTCCCTCATTTTCATCAGCAGGATTGCCTTGCTGGTCCAAATCATCTTCCATCATCGGTTCAGCAGTCTCTGGTTCATCCATATTACAATCATCTTCAGGACCTTCCTCATGTTCATCAAGCTTCAATCCAGTAGGATCTGCATATGCATCCTCTTTGTCCATATTTATATCTTCCATTCCTTCGCAAGTTTCATCATTTCCATTTTCATCAGCCTGCTCCTCTGATTTGTCAAGATCAAGTCCTCCAGCTTCATCAGCAGCTTCAGAAGAATCATCTTTTGCTCGAAGCTCTCTGTCAATACCACTATCTCTTACTGATGGGCCATTTTCGTACTTTTCATCCGCCGTACTAGGATTATCCTCACCTTTGTCCCATAGTTTCTCATCAACTGCTTCACCCTGATTACCAGTTTCCCCCATAGCAGATTCCAGTTCTTCATTTTCTTCATCGCCGTCTTCATCATCCCCAGAATCCTCACTTACGCTAAAGGTATCAGCGGCAAAATCTTGCTCCATCTCAATTCCTTTGTCAGTTTTACTTGGAGCGTCACCCAAAGTGTTCTCTTCATCTCTCTACAAAAGCAGAACCGAGAAGGTGTGAGCCATACCGTTACTCTTATTGTATAATAAAGAAAATTGGAAGAGAAGGGAGAAAAGTGAAAGCAAAACATAATAGGTATGCTTGTCATATCTTACATCAGCGGATGTGCCAATGAGCTGATCTTCATCATTTATTTGATCACTGACATCATTCATTCCGCTACCCTCACCCATACCTGTTCCACTTTGATCTTGAATTAAATCTTGGTTGGCATCATCCGTGTCCTCTTCTTTTGTACCAAAACCTTTGGCAAATAGTGAAGCAAAAATGTTTGCCAGCACATGGGTCATCATAGATAGCTGTCAAAATCATCGAGAAAAGTTTATAAATAATGATTTGTGAAACAAAGTAGCTATAGAGACAAAGCTAGGACTTGGAGATAACAGTCTTCCCTAATGTCTTCTAATCCAGAAAGTGTCTGAACCAGTATGTCTAAACTGATTTTACTATTGAATTAGTCCAGAGCTGCTTAATTAGATCTCTGTGTGTGTGTTGATCTTGATAAATAAGTTCAACACCACTTGGTCAGACTCAACTTAGCTATCTTACATAACAGAGGAACTCCCCATTCATACCTTCTTGCCTCTTTTATCATCTAGGATCTCTTTCTTAGTTCAAGTTTACTGTTTTTCTTATTGTTAGTGAGTCCCACTACTCGCAAGGATTTCTTAGAGCAAAAAGAGAAGTGCATACCCTCAGGTTGCAGCAGTTTAATGAAAACCTGTTTTGACTACATCTAATCTAACGTCAACACTGATAGAATAACTAGGATCCTATGTGAACTGGCCAATTTACCAAGGAAGTTGAAATTCGTCTGGGCTTCCAAATTAGACTTATTTTTTCTTCTTTTTTAAGTGGGATGTGGGGTAAAATATTTACCCTAGTAAAAGAAAGTTGTGTATGTGGGTGGGTGGGTTTGGGGGGGAGGGGGGGGGGGGGGTAAAAGAAGGAAAATTGATCGGAAGCAGCATCCCATATATTGACCATAACAAGCAAGAATATAAGGACACATTAAACAGATAACCAGGATTCAGGAGCCTATGCAAGGAACAATTACAATCCTATGGATGACAAGAAAATCATGCAGAAGAGTGAAGACCCATCATGGTGGAGGTTCATACCATCATGTATATGGTGGTCAGTTTGGAAGGAAAGGAATGGTCGATGTTTTGAAAATAGATCCAATTCCATTCACAAGGTCAAATGGAATTGAATAGTATCCTTACTTTTTTGGTGTAAACAGTTGTGTATATAGTAGATATACAGACCAGATTGTAGATTTGATAGGAAGCTTGTAACTGACATTTTTTGGTGGTGACCAGCATGCCCTTAATGCTGAAGAATCCAACCAGTTTCAACAAAAAAAAAAAAAAGAGTGAAGACCCATCACTTAAGGCGATGACAACATTCTAGAATGAATACATAACTTTTTTAGGAGGGTGGTAAAGGGAGGAAAATTGATCCGAAGAAGCATATAATATATTGACCTTAGCCACACATCACATATAACCAGAAGTAGGATAGGGCAATCAAGCAAAACTTACCATTCTATGCATGATAAGAAAATCATGCAGAAGACCATCGCCGAAGGCAATGATCACATCCAACAGTGAATACATATTTTCTACATGTGCTCTGACATCCGAATAGGCATTCGCATTTCCGGCGCTGTAACCGTTCAATAACTCTCCCTGTATAAAATGAGAGAAAAATCAGAATTGGAAGCTGGTATTTGTACCTGACAGATATAATGAATAAGGTCTTTTTTTAAAAATGATATAGGTTAATGAATAAGATCATATATTACTTACTCCAAGATGAATAGTATTCACTAATTGATCACTAAGATCTGATTGTAGATGCCTTGTTGCTGATTCGAGGAGAATTTTCAAAGCATTGATATTCACACCATCAGGAGGAGCACGACCATTCTTCAAAGTCACAAGACCTTTCAAAGTTTCTATGATAGATCTGTATGTTTTCACCAAGGCGTTGTCAAATTCAGCTTGAAGTGCAGTAGTATCTCCTGTATAGTGGATGAAATCTTGGGCCCACTCTTCAGATGTGCTTCTTGATTTAAATTGATTATGTATGAAGTTGGTCTGAAATGTTTAAAAGTCCCAATTATTGGAATGCATTTTGTAGCCAATAATATATGCAACTTTAACAAAAATATCACAATTTAACACATCAGACTCATATGATGACTTGCATCAAAATCAGTTTAAGTTCTCCAACTACTTAGAAGTTACTGTCAGTAAAGCGTAGAGCATTGGGAGACCTTGTCAAATATCTCCTCAAAGTTTCCAAGCAGGATATCCTTAATGGAGTTTCCAAGCACGATATCTTTAACGGTTACTCCAACTTCATCTTGTCCATGGAAAGCACGAAAGTCAACCTTAAAGTCGTTGATTAAATCAAAATTCTTATATACCAACTGCTTCATGTCCTTCGTGATGGCAATAGGATGCAATGGAGTTTCTTCCTTTCTTCCAACTCCATGAATGCCAATAAGATAACTGTCCAACAAATCCTGCCATAATTCCCATAACTAGTTAGTGCAACTGATATTTTAATAGCATGCCTGAGTGTAAGAAGAACTAGAATGTACAGAAAACTGTTCGAAAAAAGGGACAACTAGAAGAGTATGTAAACCTTAGATTCCTGAACGATGGGCAAATGATTCTCAATGAAAAGGCGAATCTGCATTGCACTGTCTTTAACACTTGGACAAGTATTCAAATGGAAATCTTCGACAGTTTGCACAAACAAGTGCTCTTCATACAACATGCCATACAAGTTATCAAAAAGTTGCTGCAAAATATGAATTAAACTTTCAATTACCCATCAAAATGAGGAGAGGGGGGGAAATTTGAACTCAGACTAAGAAGTTAACGTACCTTTTGTTGCCAAAGACACTTGTATATGCAGTGCTGATTTTCGGTGAATGATTGATCACATGTCACATTTGTGAAAGGGATATTACCAGAAGATAAGCTAGCCAAAGGCAATAACAATTCTTTCAAACATTTGAGTCGCTGAGAAAAAGCATATACGACCTCCCGTTGCTCTTGTTGAATGCTAGTGAGGTGGTCAATGTAAGATCCAGACTTGTTAACCTGCATTACAAGAAAGTGAGATTATAACCAAGAAAGAGGTACAAATGCTATAATAAAAACAACCCAAAGCAAATAGATAATTGAACGAGCAAGTAAAACTAATATAAGACTTAATCGATTCAGTAAATGGGGTTTGTCAATCAATATATCAACTATGGCTCAGTCCAAATTACTTGGAATCGGCTCATATGTGTACTCCTTAACCATTACTCTATTTAGGTGCTTCAGCAGTCAGGATTATTAGATTATTCTGAATGTTATGTTGGCCATCAACCTATCACAACCCTCCTCTGTTTGTTTATTTGTTTGTCAAGAAAGCTACGTTGCTCGGACTTAGGTGCAAGTGTCTGATACGGGTGCAGATCTAGAGGTCGGATCATACATGATCTACGGTTTAAGATTCGGGGATACGGATCAAGGTACGGATACGAATGATTCAGCTAGAAATAATTCAAATACCTAAAATTAGAGTTATATAACCTAAATTATGAGATATTATGTGGTGGACAACTTGAGCCTTGAGGAGAACAAAAAGAAAAAGAGTGACATAAAATTCTATATACAAGGTATTCCATTTTCTTCAATTTCATCTTAGCTCTTGTTTTGATTACAGATTTCATTGAATCTATCCGGAATTTCTCCGTCGATTTTGCTCAAAGTACCCAAAACTGGTTGACCAGATTGGGTATTGATACCACACCTACACCCATGTTGTGTCGATACAGGTGCAGCACCGAAAATGAAGAGTCTGAGCTACTTAGCCAGCAAGAATTAAATTAAACCAAACATGATAGGTAGAATTGACATGATAATCTAATTTTTTTTAGTAACATCAGTTCACATATGTTACCTGCTCAAGAGTAAAATCCTTATGGAAATTTAGGCAAATTTGCTGCAAAACATGCACCGAGTTGATGCTCTTAAAATAGTACAGGTTAGCCGTTTTCCATTTGGTTTCCAAACTCTCATCTAGTGAACATTGGAGCTCCCCGCGACTAACTTCAGAATCTTTAGAGGCCGGTGGACCTTGTGTTAGGAGTAGATGTTGAACATCATAAGACGGCTGGAGGAACCAGGACATTAATATATTGACTCTCCATTGCTCCTGTACACAATGAAAAGGACATCATAAAAAGATCAAGTAGAGATCAGAAGCTGGAAATGATAAATTACAATAGACAAAAAGATTCAGTCGAAATGAACACTTGGATGAAGAAATGATGGCGAATAAGGGAAAGAACATATTATCGGAAGACCATGGACTAACTTATATTTACCTCCATAAACAAGGCTCTGTGCTTTGATAGACCACAGCTATCCAAGAGCTTCAGAAAATCAGAGAATACCCTTCTCTTTCCCATTTTCTTGCTTGCATCCACCCAAACATCAACACAGTCTATAGCAGTACCACATACATCCTCGATCGTTTGTCTGAGTTGCTTCCACTCATCCAGATATAACAGGCATGAAGACTTGAAGCCCTGACCATCTTTGATGACATTTGCAACCCCTGATTATTTTCAAAATATGCAACTTTCAGAATCTTCAACAATAGGAAATAGGGAATTATATGTTGCCTGAACACAGTCAAAGGAAAAGAAAAGAATAAACCTTCTACGAGCCTAGATAGATCTGTATCTGTTGATACATCGAGGTGCAAACCTTGTACAGCATTCTCTACTTTCTTCCACCAATCGGAAAACCATGAAGGGCTGTGGTTGAAAAGCAGCAAGTTGATAAGACTTCAAGTAAACTAATTAAAAGACAGCAACATGGAGACAAGATCACCTGTCCATTTTTGACTGCTTCTGATCTAGGACAATATTTAGAAGAGCTCTGCTCCTTTCAAAAGAATCCAAGAGACTAGGTTCATCAGTACTTTGGGGATTTATCCCACTTCGTTTTGCTTCTTGGTTGATTAAAAGCATAACAGGTTGCTGCAGCAGGTCCTACATCAGTAAATCAAAATGTATGAGAAAAGCTAGAAGAAATATTTACATAAGATAAACTATTTCAATTGACAAAGAGTGCAACACAGGAATAGCTTTATAATGTTGAGATAATCTGAATTGACATTTTATTCCACATTCACACGCTCAAAATAAAATAATAAATAAATACCAAAAAAAGCAAGAAATAATTAGAAAGTTAAGTTTGGTTTTATCAAACCGTAGCAGAACACTGACATCATAATCTACCCAAAAGTAAATTCTAAAGAGCAAGATGACAACTACAAACTCAGAGTAATGGGATGATTAGTTTAATGTACAAGTAGAGAAATCGCTGAGGAAATCATTAGGAAAAGCTACATAAACTCAAGCTAGAAGGACACACCTAACATAAGTTTCACTTTCCAGTCCCAATTGTGCAGCAACAAATGGAGAGATGAAAAATCAACTTGAAGATGAGTCAATAAAAATAGCACGACTCACAGTGTATTTCTGCATGATCTTTCTGAGCTTCTGCCTGGTTCTCCTGGAACTTTCTATGCTTAAGTAATCTTCAAAACGTTCCCATCTGCATAGCTTAACAAGTTCATTTACCTCTGCCTCAATTTTCCTTCTATTAGTTCCAATGTGCTCCAAAATCCTTGCCCAAGAAAAAGACAGAGAAAAGAAAATTTAGAAAAAATAAGAAATATCACTTTAAAAGACATGAATGAAAAGCGCTTGAAGTGTATTATCAATTTCTCTTTTTGGCACAGTAGAGAACTCACATTGGCAAGAATTGTGCATAGAAGCCAAAGCTGTTGTAGAGGATTTTAACACTTCCCTCCAGACAAAGGCTGCACAGTTTTTCTCAAATCAGCATTTTCAATGGTTTATATACACTTCAGTACACAGTTTATGCATGATGACCATGTTTCATTGTGCCATATATTGGCTTGAAATTACAGAATCTAGGCACATTTACATACATAAAAGGAATCTTTTCCTCTACCTTGAATAGGTTCCATTCCTTAAACCAGCACAAATATGCCCATGAAAAGCGACCAGGAGCTGCAGGCGCTTCTTAAACTCACCGATACTGGACATCTCAATGAACTCCTTCAGGCTGAATGATTGACAAGCATTAGCGATGAAAATGTATCAAATTTTGAGAGAAAACAAAGAGAAGCACATGCCTTCTAATAGTAGTAAGGTTGTATTCATCAGTATCAGCACACTGCTCACGTCGAAGAACTGAATATAGTGGCAACCACAACTGCAGTTTGAGGATAAAATTAACATATGATCCAAGGAAAAAGTAATCTAACAATAAAAACTGCAAATTCTGTAATTCGATAGCATCCAGAAGGCTCTGCAACTGTGGAAGAAAAGTAGATCTGAAACTTCATTTGCTTATAAGAACCGTGACATGCTTCGAGCTAAACCAGACTCAAACATGTTTAAACCACCAAAATAAATTAACAAGAAGTTTTATTTCTGATATACACCGACACTACACAGACAAAGGAAATTCAAATCAAGAATACAGCTCATGCATCCAAGTCCCAACTCCTAGTTAACAAAGAATGCAGATTGCAAGTAACATCAATGTGAAAAAACTAGTCTCAGAAGCGCATACTAATGTTTGGCTGGCATCATACTGTAGAAGTGACTAGTTTTTTGTCATATGCATTGATAGTCTGGTAGACCTGAGTTAAAAACAATATATTGTGGAAATCACCAGACTTCTGATTCGCATAAGATACATCTTTTTCATTTGATCTGCATAACATAATTTTCTCAGGACTCACAGCTCACATCATTATTATAACTTTCTCTGCATAGTTGTGACAACAAGTTTTTGGTTTACCAGCAATTGAAGTGCTCTGAAGTTTAGCAGAAAGAGAGAGACCCAAGATAACATGCTTGGAGGCATGTTGAGTAAAAAATCAAGCCGAAATAGAAGTTACCTTCCCTGCATTCTTCTCAAACTGATCTTCAACTTCATTAAGCAGAGCAGGACAGGATTCGAATTCCAACTTATACCATGAGCACACCAGAGCAAATATGGGGTCCAAAAAATCTATGGAAACAGAATTTTTAGAGAGGCAGAAAAGATGACAGAGAGGGTTAAAGCTACTGAATGATTTAACATCATCAGATGTTAATAAAAAAAAAAGTATGGTAAATTACCAGACAATGGAAATTTCGCTACAGTTTCTTGCAACATCCGAACTCTGCTAAGCAGAAACTCTAAGCTGGAGAGCGCCTTCAAAGAAAGGAAAGAAAGAAACAATGAGAATTTGACTAGCAATTCAAATGACATCATTAAGCATACATGAAAAAGATAACCAGAACGATGAATATATCAATTTTTTCCTCCACCCTATTATGAAAAACAATTCTCCAAAGCAAAAATACAATACACTACCTTAGCCAATGGGGTGCTAAGAGGCATAGCCAAGATCATTTCAATTATATCCAAGATTCTCTGAAGAGCATATTCATCCCGTTCTTCCAAAAGTAGAGTAATTCGCTGTTTAAGAGATACTAATGGATCCACCATTTTAGCCAACATAGAGAAATTTGGTTCCTAATACATCATTTAGAAGAAATTTTTAAAGTGAATAAGGTGTACCAAAGGAGGGGAAAGAAGCAAAAGCATTTTAAAGGAAGTACGATATTAACAATCAAAACCTTGTAAAAGTTGTATCCTAGGGTTGACTTATTTGATGAACAGAACGTTGTTTCATGCTCTAAACATAGATGAAGCAAGTGTTCGGGTGCAATTTTCGCGTCCAAAGAGGAAGATGGTAAACCTTCTAGATCTGCAAGCATAAAGATGCCAGAGAGCTTAGCCAATTTTCCCATAATAAGACTATCAAAGCATGCAGAAAAACTGTTTCCCAAGTTTTTACCTCTAATCATTTTTGCTCCCAACAAGTAAGAGTCAGTAAAGGAAGACAATCTGCTTGCATCAGATACATGGAAACATCCAGGCTGAATTCAAACACCATGATCAGTATTTAAACACATAAAGATAGATAGATAGACAGATAGATAGTTATAGAGAGAGAACATACATTATGTGATAAAAAAAAATTCCCCAGTATATAATGGATACAGAGAAATAAAAACAAAAAGAATAACATGTTACAAACACAAGTGTGTGCAATTCTAAGGGTGTTCATTACAAAAGCACTTTTACATCCCTACACAACGGCACATCCTATATGTGCCTAAAGGAGCTTCAGATGCAAATGGAAATATCTAAATAATTTATGTCATACCCCATAAGGAAGTTCAGAGACTATAACTTAGGAGTAGGTCTTCATTTTAACTTCATCTTAATAATTCAGGTCCACAAGAAAAGAACACACATTCTAAATGTTTTGGAGTACTGACAGAAACAAGCTAATTGTTTTTCAAATAGGAAAAAACGTTACAAAATGTTTCAGAACTCCCTGCACGAGCATTAGTTCCACGCCTGACAACAAAAGTAAATTCAGTACCATTGCATACTGATCAGCAATGTACCAACCAGCTTTATATCTGAGAGTTTGATAGCTCTCATACAAATGTAACACTGAAATGTTAGCAGGCAAATAGTGTCATCTTGGATTCATAAAATAATTCGTCACATTGAGAGAGATATAATGTTCAGTCATACAAGCAGAATACACTTATAGACTACCCCATAGTTAAACACATACCTCCAAAAAGCCATATAACATATCACAAGGCAAGTGGGAAACAATTATATGACATTGATGTGAGGGTTCCCATCTCAAATACAGCTCATGCATCTATAATTGATAGTAAGACTAATATGTAGGAGTGATAATAAATCAAAAGACACTAATTATCAGTCATGTAAAGTTGCACCTACACGCCTGAAGAGAGATTCCTCATCATAGAATCAGAACCTAACATGTCCCAGATAATGAAACGATTCCACCTCAACATAAAAATGTACCAAATGAACTCTACCTCCTTAGAAAACTAATTCTCTGTCCAGCTTAAAGCTTCCCTCTCTAATACATCGTAAGAACATCCATACAACTAGCATTGCATACTTACAGATTGATATATATCAGTCGAGCCAAATAATTCATTGTGTACGTGGATCATGTTATTCAAACTGGAGTCTTCTATATAGTTCCAATCGTCCATGATTGCTTCTGGTTCTTCGTCAGAATTCTGCTACATGAGTAGAAATACATTAGACTGATAACCAAATGGAAAGAGATACAGCAAAGCAAAGTTCCATCACTGGATGCACAAAAGAAAGAAACCAACAGTGTATGCTTACTTTCTCAGAAGATTCTTGTCTAGAGTGAAATTCTTTCCATTCTGAGAAACTTTCATTTGAAGCCGAACTACCAAGAGCTGATATGTCAATCTCAAGGATATTATCTATCTTGAATAAACGCGGTTTAAACCTAAATTGTTGAGCTTTATTCTCTTCTGTTGTTCTGACTTGAAGTTTCATTTGCATCCAGTTGCTTGCTAACTCATCAAATATCCTATCCGTTAGCTGAAACAGAATATCAGATTATGTTCATATGATATTGGGATGACTAATACAAAGCACATACATCCAACAACAGCAACAATCATCCTCACCTTAAAGGACGGCGTATCCATGAAGTGGGAATCAACAACAGAATGCAACACGCGAACCAGAACATTCTGATACATTGCAGTTCTCAGTTGCAAGGATGATACCTGCCAAAATTGGAAGAGTAACACAATGAGCAAAGCATGAGAAGCCGAAGAAGGAAGACATTACAATATTTTTCCTATTATTAAGATACACTTGAAGATATACACGCAATCCTAAGAACAAAAGACAGTCTCAAACCTTGCTATCAGCACTGACTCTCTGTTTACAATTGACAAGATTATCCAACAAATTTAAATCCAGGGCTGAGATGCTTGTTGGAAATTCAATATCATAATGCAAAAGTTCCACGCCGTTATTGACAGCATCAAACGAAACAGATTTTGATGCACACCCTCTTGGGAATTTCACAAAGGCATAAACTGCGGCCTGTCCATCATTGCAGAGAAAGTTAATACATATATCGGAAAAGAATTGAAAGACACTTATCAAAAATAAATAAAGGAATGAAAGATAATACCAGAACAGATTCCATATCAAACTTCCCTAGTTCCTCCAGATACTTTTCACTTAAGGCACCAGAAAAAGCCAGAGACAGTCCTAATTTTATTTCATATATAGCTGTCTGGACCGGCTGAATTACATCCATGTACGAAGAATATTCTTTAGATAACTGCTTTATGGCTTTTGTAGCCGTTTCCTGCAATATCAATTAAGTGTATGACATTGTAAAGAAATTGGCATTCCAATACAGCCTCATCCAATCACTTGAAGATTAGAGGTAAGCTAGATTTTTTCAGTGAAAACATTTATGTAGAAAACATACCAAAACAAATAGAGAACAATAGACATTTATCTACTTGAGTCATTACCTGCCAATTGCGCACTTTGCCAGATATCTCTTCCACACTTACGCTTTTAAAATTCTGGGTCCAACCAACCGTAGTAGTAACAATTTTATCAACAGTCCCAAGAAAGTCGTCGCATTCAGCCTTCATTCTCTTGAATTTCTCAGGTTCAGCGCGGAATACAATCTAATAGGAGGCACACTAAATTCGTCAGGCATGAATAAATCTAGACCACATAAAATCATGTTTCCAAGAAGTTATAAGGATTGATTAGAACTACTTGACATATAAATATACTACCAACAACCAGCAGAAAAAGAATAAATGTACAACTCAGTTAAAGAGTCCTGCATTGGTTAAGAAAAAATAATGAGGATTGATTAGAACCTCAGGAGCTAGCTTTTAATGCTGAAACAGACCAAAGGATCCATTTCCTAAAGCTGGGACCAGAGCCAGACAAATTTTTAGATTGTTCAAGTGATCACTCTACAGAATGTTCAAGCAATTTTAGAGAGTTCAAAGAAATCTAGAATGAGGCCCTGGAAAACATATGGAAAGCCAAATACCTCATAAGTTTCCCTGTTTTGTTTGGTTGTTGGCCAAAGAGGCAGTGCTCACACAAGACAACCTAATAAGGAGAGGAATGCCACTATGCCCTAGATGTTTCATTTGTGGTGAAACAGCAGAGACAGTTAACCACCTGTTCTTACACTGTAAGGTAACAAGCCAGTTATGGAGACTGTTCTTAATCCCCAAAACACATTTCATGGTCCATGCCTGTGAAAATCTCAGAAGCATTGCAGACCTGGGAAGGAGTACGAGTGCAGGCCAAGAACAGGAACAGATAGAGAATGGTCCCAGCAAGTATTTGGTGGACAATCTGGAAGGAGAAATTTTTTGATGTTTTAAATACATTATAGAAGCAGGACAGTAGATTATAGGGTACCTTGGTAAATATGGTTTCAGTGCAACCTACGTGTTGATTTCGTCATTACAGAAATAGATACAGCTACCAGTTTTTTTTAAAAAAATAAAAAATTACAGGGTGATTCTAGAAATGTAGTTTAGATAAAGATTGTTGGAGCATTCTAGAAGAGAGTATACCTCTCAGTAGATTCTTCTATCCCCCCCACCCCATACAAATAGAGGTGGTCATTTTAGTTGAGAAAGTAAGAAGTGAGTGATCAGATGGGAAGTGTGAGAGCAACAAATAGAGTCGCTAGAAAGTGAGTGAAAGGGAAAAATTGAGTGTAAAGAATAGTCCCAATCATAGATAAAGGGAATGATGAATATAATGCGGTTTCAGATAGAGCAAAAGATGAACTCAATTAACTTTGGGTTGATGCATTGTTCTTGTTGTAATGTAGAATATTCTGACCCCCCCCCCCCCCGCCGTACTGCAACCTGAACAAGCACAAAAACGTATTTATACTTCCTTAATAATAAATTATCAGCCGCCAGAAGAGAAGATACAAAATTGTTCCAGCATTGACGAGGATTTGATTTGTGAGAGATTTAAAACAAGTGACAACAGAAAAGTTAAAATCTCGAGTATAAACAAATGAATGACAAATGCCATCATCATAGGGCAAAAAGCATTAATAGATCATAATTCCTAGTTTGCATAATTATCCTCTCTTTTTTGAAGCCAAGATGTTACATCTCTATTAAAAGTAAAACATGCAAAGAAAGGACAGGGTTGAGTGAAACCAATAATACTAGCAATCTATAACGTCTTATTCGAAGACAAAAGAATCCATTTGAAAGTCAAATAATGAAGTAAGACACCTTACTAGTCGTAAGGATGATTTTCTAAAACCCCTCAATTTTTAAAGGACTTCAATTTTTTATTTAAGAGCTACAACACATTTAAGATACGACCACCAAATGTAGTTCGGGTCACCACAGATTGTAAATTAAGGCTAAAGGACAACAGGTAGGTGGGGATAGGTGCTCATTTTTACCGCCTTTTCCCCTTTATAGGTTGCCAAATACTTAACTTCCTAGAAAAGACGCTGTATGGAAAGTTGCAAGCAGGTAAAAACTTCACATAATAATTGTACACAGTTATTCAACCAGACAACTACAGAGAAACAAAAGCAAAAAATCCAGTGTGGTCCCATAAGCGAGGTATGGGGAGGGTAGAGTGTACGCAGAGGATAGAGAGGTTGTTTTTGAAAGACCCTCGGCTACAACAACTGCAGAGCACAGATAAAAATTCCACCACAAAGGATAAGAGCAAACTGAATTAATTAAGGGAGTTCCTGACCTTTCTTTGCAGTTTCTTTCGCTCAGCATGGAGATCTTCCAACAACATAGATCTATCTCTTTCTTGTTCCCTCAACTGAAAAGATCCAGCCAAAAGGACACAGTCATTGCGTACCTGAAGTGTGGAAACAATAGAATATAGACAGTGAATTAAGGCATACAACTGGAACACTAACTTTATAATGTAACTAATCTATATAATGAGGGATCAAAATAAACCTGCATTCTTGTTTACGAAAAATATTTAACATCTACATTTACCATTTCTAAAAACAGAGTAATGCTTAACTTCTGTGGGGTACTCCCCTAATTTAGCCAAACAATGATTAGATCACATAGTCCACCCTAACAAAAGGTGGTTTTTGGTAACACTATTCGCAGATGAGAATAGCATGGCTAAGACTTGATTTGTTTCCAAAAAAGAATGTATGAGATACTATATGCCGGAAACAACTACATCCCCCCCCCCCCCTTTCCAATCTGAATAAAGTCAGCTTACCAATATATTTTATAGGAGTTAAATACTCAATCTTTCAATTATCTATACAACCAAACTAGGATTTTTTGGAAGAGTGCGAACATTGTAGCCAAGGGCCTCGGCTCAACATATTGAATGTATATAAAGAGTTGAAAACTCCACCCTTCCTCTTTAATGAGTTATGTTAAACATTAACCAATTTGATTCAAGTAGTATCTTTTTTTTTGTGCGTGTGTGTTTTTTTGTTGAAGGCGATAAGACAGGCAAATATTTTATTGATCTATGCAGCACCAGGGAGCTACTAATCTGCAGTGTGATTGCACCTGTCTCCTCTAAACATGTAAAGAGTCTAGGAAGTCAAATACGTAAGCATCTAGATTTATAGTTCTTCCAGTTTAATTGTTTACCTCTCCAAGTTCATCTTGTGAAAACTCAAGCACATAGAAAATTAACTTCAATGGATGTCACACATATCAAAACATCCCCTATTCATTCCCACATTGTTAAACGAGCAAATAGGAACAATGATAAATTAGGATATGAGTACATGCACACACAACTCCAGAACAGAGACATAAGGATTGATCTCTCAGCTTAAGCTAAAGAGAAGATAGCATCCACCGTTACTTCGACTAAAGGTTGACACACTTCAATGGGAAATCAAAAAGATGCTTATCGTGGAAGAAAAGCCCAAGAATGAGCCCAAGAGTTGTGAAGATGAATGGGCTATGTGCTACATGTATTTCATGGTCCAAGTCCAAGAGGAAGAATATTGGGGTCACATGGAGCCCAAGAGGAAGATTCCACATGGAGCACAAAAAAGAGCTGAAAATTCAGGCAAAAAAAACGAGATGAGAATCAAGCCTAAAAGGGCTTCAATTGACACTCAATAGGTGGATGAAATGGGTGAGTTTTGCCCAAAAAGTGGCTGAAGGAAATTTGGGATTTTTGTTGCAAAATTGTACTTTCTTCTCTTATTTTATTTATGTATGTGAAATTATGTCTTGGGCCTAACTCATACCCGAAAAGCTAGCTCAAAGGAAGGAGGACTGCTCAAGCCTTATAAGGAGTCCACTCATCTCATTAACCACCAATGCGAGACTTTTGTTATTCTTTAACACCTCACCTCACGCCTAGTGCTTAGCATCTGGTGCGTGGAAAATTTTTATTTTTGGGGGGGCGGCCCAACATTGGGTGAGATAGACCCTGCTCTGATATCATGTGAAATTAAGACTTGGGTCTAACTCACACCCAAAAAACTAGCTCAAAGGGAGGAGGACTGCTCAAGCCTTATAAGGAGTTCACTCATCTCATTAACCACCAATGTGGAACTTTTGTCATTCTTTAACAATGTAGTTTTGGGAAGATTTTTTCTTATTTTCCTAGTTAGGTTTTTAGAATTGTTATTTTCATAAAAGTAGGATTCGAATCTCATGCTATTTGGGAAGAGTTCCCCTATATATAGAGGTGATTTTTTTTCTTTTCGTTAGAACATTATTATAATTGATAGTTCCTCTTATTTACACCTTTGTGTGTTGGCTACTTGGGATTTATCTTACAACATTAAAAGAATGATTCTTCTAAGTAAGATTAATTCTTTAACTTCATATCTTTGGTTCTTAGTCGTAAATCAAAGAAGGTAATTAGTATTATACTGGTTATAGTCTCTAATTTCTTCAAAATAGGAGCCAAGCACACCATTAATCTAAGTTTTTGAATTGATTCTATTAGAAACATAATTAATTTTATATTTAATTAGGTTTCTTAGCATTTGATTTCGAAATTTGGGGAATTCTTATATATAAAAAATACCCTCTCAGGCACTTATCCCAAGACAATCTCCTAGGGACCCTTCCGGTCCTTAGGAAACCATAATCCGGTGAACTCTCTTTGCCGGAAACCCAATTCCTTTTTTTTTCTTCTCCCTTATTCTTTCTTTCCCATGGATAACAAAATATACTTCAGACTTGGGGTCAAATCATATGATATTACTGTGTCTAGAAACACGAAAGGAAACTGGTTTGAGTGGGTGGAGAGTGCGAAACTACACGTGAGGAGAATGAAGCTGAGCAGGGATGCTTTATTATGGATATGCAAAAGGCTAGGGGAGGCTTCTGGCATTAAAGGCAAGTCATTTAAGACCTGGAGATGCAAGGACTTTTCTACCTACATTTATTGCTCTTTGAAGTTCAATAAATACGGTAGATTCATCTCAATCATTGCGGTTAATGGCCATGAACGTTCGGTGATTATTCTGCCAGAAAACATCTTTAATGAGGGCTGGGGTGGCCTATCAAAAAAAATTGAAAGCTTCATCATTAAGGAGGCAGGACATGTTACTGAGAAACAGGGGAATCCTGCGCTTATGAGGCTCAAGGGAGAGGAAAGTTATAAGGAGGTCATTCAAAAGAGCAAATGGGGGGCCATATCTGATAGGAGAGCAGAAAATCAGAAGGAGACACTCTGTGAAGAAGGAGTCCTTAGCAGATGTCTGGTGAGAAGCTTCCCAGAGGATGACGAAATTCCATCACGGAACGAAGTCAGAAGGTGGGCTATTCAAACGTGGAAAGGCATCCACAATGTCAACATTTACGACATGAATGGTATTCAGTTTCTTTTCGAGTTCCAGTCAAGAAAGGAAGCAGAGCATATTGCTATGGGGAAGTGGAGAAGAAAGAATCACCATTTACATATGGAATGGTGGTCTCCCAAAGCAGGAACGACGCAAGCTGACTTCAAGTTTGACTGGTTTTGGGTTCGGATTCTAGGTCTTCCTCTACATCTATGGACAGACAAGGTGATGAAACAAATTGGTGACCAATGTGGGGGATGGTTGGAGACGGAGGAGGAAACCACCCTAAAAAACCATCTCCGATGGGCTCGAATTAGGGTTAAGGGCCCTAGGGAAAAAATTCCGGCGGAAATCGAGATTGAAGATGGAGATGGCTTTTTTCTGCTACCAGTATGGTGTGAAGCTCCGGCAAGATTCAAAAAAAAGAAGGGGGAGACACACTCTGATCGATATGTCATAGGTTTGACATATGGGGAAAGTTCTCTGCAGAGGGGAACTCTTACGACAGAGATGGAAGAGAGATTAAGGAAAGGCAAAGAGAGATTTTGCCCAGAAGTCAATCACGATGGGGGTTTTGTACCGCTGGATAAAAGTGGGCACGTGACTTGTGAAAAGTCATCTGGAAAAAGGCATGTGGAGGCCCAAGCAGAGAGTCCGGGTCAATTTTTGTCTTGTTCAAAGTGTAGTGGGGCTGGGCCCATTAACTTAGGCCCAAAAGCTACAGTAATCTATTTTACAGAACCTTTTATTGGGGAGATTTTCAACAACAGAACCTATACGGAGAATTCCATGACATCTCCTACAGAGCTTGAAGAACTCATGCAAGCGACTCATAATCCATCGAACAACATCACAATTGAAATCATTGACATGCAGCGTGCAATTGATCCTTCAGAGTATGCGGAGGAGACAATATTGCCCTTAGTTTGCGAGAAAAGGGTGAACATAGGGGATGACCAAGAAGTTTACACGGGAGAACCCTCCAAGAACCAATTGGTAATTCTAGACGAGCCTATTCCTATTACCAGTGATGACTCTCTCTCAGAGGAAGCCATTGATGACAGAGCTTCTTTATGGGTGCAAGCGAATGTCCTTAAACTTAGCAGATTATTTGGTGCTGCCTTCGAAGGATGTGATAAGACTGCTTTTGAATTATTTCTGAAAATTGATCAAAAGAGGGACTTCCTCAAGCAAAATACGGAGAAACACATAAATGGCAATAACTCCATTAACATCCCAAAGGAAGTGAGGAATCTGGCTTTTAATGTGAATTTTAAAGATGGTGAACAAAGAAGTAGGTGGAGAAAAACAACTTCAAGCGATCAATGTTTAAAGTTGTAACATGGAATGTTAGGGGGGCAAACAATGAGAATAAAAGAAGATTAATTCGGAGTCTACTTCAACAGTGGGGTGCAGATATATATGTGCTAGTGGAAACAAAATTGACAGGAGCAGATACACAATTGATCAAACAATTGTGGTTCAACCGATGGCTGGGAGAACTACACTTAGAGGCAGTGGGGAGAAGTGGGGGTATAGCAGTGTTATGGGACAGGAGAATGTGGAAAGGTGAATTGGTGGAGGCTTCTGGGCAAGTAATCACATGTAGATTTGAAGGCATTAATACTAACTTAACTTGGTTCCTTAGTTCAATTTATGCTGATTGTAACGAAGTCATCAGAAGGGAGTTGTGGAGGGATCTAATCAATCTAAAGAACACATGCACAGGTCATTGGCTGTTTTGCGGGGATTTCAATGTGACAAGATATCCCACGGAAAGATCAACTGGACAGAGATTAACAGGGGCTATGTCTGACTTCACAGATTGGATAAATGAAATGGAGCTAATTGACCCTCCTTTATTTGGAGGATTGTACACCTGGAGAAGGGGTGAAAACCATTCGACTGCTTCTAGATTGGATAGATTTCTTTACTCTCATCATTGGGACGACTCTTTCCCACAAATTAGGCAAAGTCTTCTACCAAGACTAGAGTCTGATCACAATCCAGTGATGCTAACCTGCGGGGAGCTAACCTTGAAGAAATCTTATTTCAAGTTTGAACACTGGTGGATGCAAGTAGAAGGTTTCAGGGAGAAGGTAAAAGACTGGTGGTGCTCCTTCTCAGTAAATGGGACCCCCTCTTTTATCTTAGCCTCCAAACTGAAGTTACTGAAAGGGAAGTTGAAACAATGGGGCTATGAGAACAGAGTCAACTGGAAACAAAAGAAGGAAGAGTTACTCAATCAAATTGCTGGTCTGGAAAAGATACAAGAGCAGAGATTATTGACTGATGATGAATTCCTTCAAAAAGTTCATCTATCTAGGGAGTTTGATGAAGCTTCCAGGAATGAGGAGATAGCTTGGAGACAGAGGTCAAGAATTCAATGGCTCAAACATGGAGACAAGAACACCAAGTACTTCCATAGGATGGCCACAGCACACAAAAGAATAAACTCAATTGAAAAATTGGAAGTAAATGGCAGAGAGTTGACTGATACTGATGAGATCAAAACAGAGATCACTAATTTCTATCAGAAACTATACAGAGAAACTGAGAATTGGAGGCCTGGCCTAAACTTACAAGGCAGTGAAAGCATCAGTTTGGAGGAGAAGGATTGGTTACAAAGACAGTTTGAGGAAGAAGAAGTGGCAGAAGGTATCAAATTGTGTGCAAGCGATAAAGCCCCTGGCCCTGACGGGTTTCCTATGAGCTTTTATCAGAACTTTTGGGAGATGCTCAAGGTAGATATCATGAATACCATCAGACAATTTCATGATCAGCAGGTCTTTGAGAAGAGCTTGAATGCCACCTTTGTGGCTCTTATCCCGAAGAAGACAGAGGCAGTTGAGCTTAGGGACTTCAGACCCATAAGTTTGATAGGCGGGGTATACAAAACTATAGCTAAGCTGCTAGCTGAGAGGCTGAAGAAAGTAATCAGCAAACTGGTAAACAAACACCAGATGGCATTCATAAAAGGCAGACAGATCATGGATGCTGCCCTTATTGCTAGTGAATGTGTAGATACTAGACTCAGAGGGGCCGACTCTGGAGTTATGTGCAAGCTAGACATTGAGAAGGCATATGATCATGTCAACTGGGAGTTTTTGCTCAATATGTTAAAACAAATGGGGTTTGGTGAGAGATGGTTGAGATGGATTGAGGTCTGTATAAAAACTGTTAGGTTCTCCATTCTGATAAATGGAGAACCTACTGGTTTTTTCCCCTCAGAAAGAGGTCTTAGACAGGGAGACCCTTTGTCCCCTTTCCTTTTCATCATAGCCATGGAAGGATTCGATAGTATGATGAGGGTGGCTACTCAAAACTCATTGTTGCAAGGATTCAAAGTAGGCAATCTCTCAGGGGTGGATATGCAGATTTGTCACTTGCTTTATGCTGACGACACTGTCATATTTTGTGAAGCTAAGGAGGAACAAATTAGAATTGTCAGAATGATATTGGTAGTCTTTGAGGCGGTCTCAGGCTTGGCAGTCAATTGGAGGAAGAGTTGTATATATCCCATCAAAGAGGTTACACAGATCCAGGCCTTAGCAAACATTTTGGGGTGCAGAATCGAAAAAACTCCCAACTGTTTACCTAGGTATGCCACTTGGAAACAACCATAAAGAGCTAGTGATATGGGATGGTATAATAGAAAAAACTGAGAAGAAGCTGGCAAACTGGAAATCTCAATATCTATCCCTCGGTGGGAGAACCATTCTGATAAACTCTGTACTAGACTCTTTACCTACCTATGTGATGTCCCTATTCCCTATGCCGGCCAAAGTGGAAGAAAGACTTGATAAACTAAGGAGGGATTTTCTTTGGTCGGGAATCAAGGAAGGTAAAAGAATACATCTTGTCAAATGGCAAACTGCTTTGCTGAGTAGAAGCTCAGGGGGGTTAGGGATCAGAAACTTGGGGCTACAAAACAAGTGCTTGTTGGCAAAATGGCTGTGGAGGTTCGGAAGAGAGGATCAAGCACTTTGGAAGGAAGTTATCAGTAACAAGTATGGCCAGAATAGCCCATGGGTTTCCGATATGGTGAATATCCCGTATGGTGTCTCGGTGTGGAGAACTATCAGAAATTTATGGGGTCAACTACAACACAATATTAGATACAAAGTGGGGATTGGGACCAGGGTTCTTTTCTGGAAAGATCACTGGATTGGTCAGGACTCTTTGATGTCTGCCTATCCGGATATATATACCCTCAGCTCGTCTCAAGATGCAACGGTAAATGAGGTATGGTCTGAACAAGGGTGGAATTTCAGCTTCAGAAGGTTACTAAATGACTGGGAGATAGGGAGAGTAGCCGAGATGCTACAAACACTAGATGATTTCAAGGGCACAAATCTGGAAGTTGATGTAATGATTTGGAAACACAATCATGATGGTAGGTTGTCAGTCAGCAGATTGTACAATAGGAAAGTGAAGGAACTCCCAGGGGAAATCTCTGGACCATGGAGTAAGGTATGGAAAAATAAAGTGCCAACTAAAGTGAGGTGTTTCTCATGGCTAGTGGCTAGAAGGGCATGCCTAACTCATGAGAAGCTGCAAAGAAGAGGCTTTGAAATAGCTTCCTGGTGTTCACTGTGTAATGAGACAAATGAGACTAATAGCCATCTATTCCTCCATTGCAAAGTCACTGCTCAATTATGGACCATTTTTCTAAGCAGAACACACACAAACTGGACAATGCCAGAACACACTGCAGACCTTCTTAGTTGCTGGGTGAGAAGGGGGGGGAGTAAGAGCCAGAAGAAATGGTGGAACATGATACCCTCTTGTATATGGTGGACTATTTGGAGAGAAAGAAACAAGAGGTGTATGGAAAATACTGCAGAATCAGTACAAAAGATCAAATGGCGTTGTATGAAGACCTTCTGTTTTTGGTGTAATGAGGAGGGTATAGAGGATGGTTGGACAGATTTTTAATTTTTTCTCTTCTTTATAAGTTTAGTAGCAAACTCTTAAGTTGGTCTTTTTTGGGTCACTGATGTAAATCTTTTTGATGGTTGCCAGCATACCCTCATTGCTGAGGAATACAACTTTACTTTATCAAAAAAGAAAAAAAAAAAAAAAAAATTGGGGATTATATTCGCAAATTACACCTATCTTTAATTTCATGTCTTCTATCTTTGTACTTTCTATTCCACAATATTTTCTTGTTTTTCGTTCAAGTAACCAATTCTTATCATATCCCTTACCTGAGCTTCGAGATGAAGAGAAGATATCTTTTCCACGACTCTTGAGTACTTTAAGTAGTATTTTGCAGTTGGATCCAGATCAGTGCAGCAAATCAGAAGCTGGTAGCGGAAGGCCCCAATGAGCAACCATACACTTCCTATCCTATTTGTAAATGCTGCAAGAGAAACAGGAAAAGATAACAAAATAAAACAAATATTTTAGACCCCCAAGAAAAAGGCATGACCAACAAGTGTGGAACTTTGGGAAAGACAATTCTAATGCACTCACCCTCAGGCGTGCATGGGAGATACAATCCTTGAAGCAAAGGCTCAACAAAATGTGTCATCTCATCTGATGAGATCATCTTGTGATTTGATGATGCAAGAAGGGAAAGCATGGTCTCAATTTTGTCTTGCTATGACATGGAGAAGATAAGTGGTTATGAACAAACTTAAGATTCAAATAAAAATAGTAAATGTCCCAGATTTGAAAGTTCATTGGAAACCAACATCCCATAATGGGTTACAAGGATGTTATTTTAAATAAGATAAATGATGTTTAGTTTCTATGTTATACAATAGCAGAGCTATGGAAGAAAATGTTGACATGGGGCAAATAACATATTATAAAGCTATCCTGCCTATAGAATACATTCAAATGGGACAAAAGGAAAATAACTACCGAGATGGTCTTCTTCGCAGCAACTTCAAAGAAATCTTTAATTTCATCAAACTTCTCATCTTCGAAAGACTTTCTGTGTGCAAATATCATCTGAAAGCACACACAGCAGAGAGTATAGATCATAAATTCTCACTTCAGCACCAATTTGGGAACTGTACACATCAAAACTAAAGGAGACCATACCTTCTGAAAGAGGGACCGAGCAGTCGATAATAGAAAATGTTTTGTGTCTACTTCCAGAGAACCTTGCCAAAGATAACGGGAAGCAGCTCTCATTTTGAGACTATGCACCGGGTAATCTCTGATAGCAAATGTACCAAATCTGTGCTTGATGAAAAGTTTATTAGAAAAAAAAATCAACTTTGAAAAAAGAATAGCGAAGTCTTTCAAACAAAAGGTATTCGCTATGTACTCCCTTTCCTTTTTAGTTTGTTTCATTCTTCTATATCTAAAAAATTTAGAATTTGAACTTCTCATTCTATCCTTAAAGAGATGTTTTTATAAATGGCATGTTTAAGATTGCAAGTTCCAAGTGTACATTTGGTTGTGTCTAAAACTCTTTCTTTATTTCTTCAACTCCGTGGTTAGTCAAACACCAACATATAAAATGAAAAAGACAAAGAACTAAAATTGCAAACAAACAATCGTGTCATCAAAAAAATACTGCAAACAATCTTCAAAATGTATAAGATGTATAAGAACTAAAATTGCAAACAAATATAATGTATCACCAACTTCACCTAGGACAAGCATGTTAATATGTAAAATGAGATTTCTTTATCAAATTGCTTTAGGAGCCGGGTTCTGGGACAGAACAGTTGAACTGGTAAATCATCGGAATAGCGCAGTGGAGATTAACAACAAACCCAGTGTAATTCCACGGGTGGAGTCTGGGGAGGATAAAGTTTACGCAGACCTTATTCCTACCTTGAGAAGGTAGGGAGGTTGATTCTGATAGCACAGTTAAGATATCAGTGCTCAATAATGGCTCAGCTGAAGGTTTCTTTGCAACAAGGAGAGTTTTAAGACACGGGTTTCCGATACAGGTGCAAATCTAGTGGTCGGATCCTTCATGATCTAATCGAAAAATTCGGGGGTTTGTATACGAGTATGAAGATACAGCTAAAAATAATTCAACTATCTAAAAATAGTTATTATAAAAATAAGCCTAAATTATGGTGGACTAGTTGGAAAGAAAGGAATGCACGATTTTTTTTTTGAATCTGTAATTATTACTCCCTCCGTCCCATTTTATGTGAGGTAGTTTGACACAGCACAAAATTTAAGAAAGAAAGGAAGACTTTTAAAACATGTGGTCCAAAATGAATGATAGAAATTTGTGTGGCTGTAAATCATTTCATTAAGGGTAAAATAGACATTTTATAATTAAATTGTTACTTAAGTTTCAAAAAAAATAATTAAATTGTTACTTAATATAGAAATGTGTCATTCTTTTTGGGACTAACTAAAAAGGAAAGTAAGTCGCATAAATTGGGACAGATGGAGTATTAAATACATATGCATTGCTTGACCTTTTTTTAGTGTAACATGGCTATTGCAAATGATATAGAGGCTATGATAGACTTCATGAGTTTATTGCACATTCAACAGTTATGCTGACCTGTAAATAACTTTTAACGGTAAAAAAAATATATATGTCTATATTATGATTTAAGTGTAGCTTCTGTTTGGATTCCACCAATCATTGTATCTGTCTCTAATTTCTCTATCGTCATATGGTCAAAGTACCCAAAATTGATTGACTAGATCTGGTATAGATCCCACACCCACACACATCGTGTCAACACAGTGCAGCACCGAAACTGAAAGATTCCAGGCAACTTAGATTCTAGTCATGAGGGCCCAAGTAAAATACTCAAATTTGTTGTTCAGTGAGGATGGATCAAGGATGTGGCAACTGAAGCAGCTCAAGTACCTTACACTTATTCTATGCAGAAACAGATCAAACAAGATATATGAGTTCATTGAATGTTTCAGGAATGGGTGAAAAAAATTACAAGTACAAAACAAGAGTCTTTAAATAAAATGGTTATGGTGGTTTAACCAGGAAGAAAATGTTCAATGATGCACAGTGATGAAAGAGAAATTTGGTTTAATGAAAGAGTGCCACACAAGGAACAGATCCAAAATCACTGTGGCTACTTCTGTATAACACAATGGATAAAAGATTGGCAATGGAAGGAAACATCTTCTCGGCATGACAACAGGATACACAACTTACCATCGAAGATGCAATTCCCATTTTTTATCAACATGGCACAAGAATCAAATTTTACTGTGGGAGACAGAAGAGAAGGGACAGGTGGAACATATGTTCCAGATGGCATCTTAATGACCGGGAGATGGAGGTGTGGATCAACTCTTCTGGAAGGCGAGTGACTTCATGAGAAGGCACAGGTGGAACATATATTCCAGATGGCAGCTTAATGACTGGGAGATGGGGGAGGTGAAGATTAACTTTTCTAAAAGGTGAGTGACTTCATTATTATACCATGCAACAAGGCCATAAGCAGATCCCACCAGATTCCATCGTGACCTTGGAAGAGGATTTGAAGATCAAGAGCTTCCTATGAAGGGCCTTGTTTTGTACGGCTTGCATAGAGGAAGGATGCATTGTAAAGGAAGCATGCCTAACGCAAGACAACCTACAAAGAGCAATAATGTTACTTATCTAGAGAGGGAAATGCAAGTATCAGCCACCAATAAGTTTTTGATAATCATGATGTCTGGACCAGCTAGCCACACCTTGGCTCACAGGTTACTTGTTACCTCCCACAGGCACAGGTACCGGCAAATAACTAGTTGTCTAGTTTTCAACATTCTGGGATTATCATGCCTAGACTAAACTCAAGTTTATCTGCTGCAGGAACAGGAAGATCCTAATAAGAAGATGAAGAATACCCGGTATACCAACTTTTTAAGGTAAAAAGATACTAATTGTTTTTAAAATACAAGCTGACTGCCTACTACAGATCATTTATTGGTTTAATCTAGAACTGGTATATGGTATTGAACCTCGGTAAACTTTCTTAGCTCCCTGCACAGTAGAAGGGAATTATCTTTTGGTTTCGGCTTATTTGGATGTAAGCTATAACACCAACTTAGTGCTGGTTTCATCAATAAAACTCAACTTCTGTAAAAAAAAAATAATCTAGAATTTGTCAGTTTTTGTGTTTGTTAGGTACCATGAGAAACTGTGGGGCACAGAAATAGAAGATGCAAGATCCAAGATACATGAAGCTTAGCCAAAATAGAACACTGAAAACTGAACAGAAATACGATCACCACCACCCCATCCCCTTCCTATATACATATATATGCACATATCTCTTTTCTCAACTCTCTCTCTCTTTCTCCCCCTCTATATATGTATCTTGCATGTGTACTGCATTCATCACTAGTTGGAAGCTGATACCAAAAGAAGACTCACGCAAGCCGAATTGTCGCCCCTACAACTACGCCCATCAAACAAATAAGTAACTTACAGGATTTTCTGAATTGCTGCCATTTTTGAAGGCTTAAACAGCTCATCGGGAAGGATATCATCACATTTATGCCATGAGAGGTTCTGCAGAACCATAACAACATAAATACAGATATTATACCTGAAGATGTAAAACTATTTGCAGTAAATATGCATCATATGGTTTACCTCAGCAACAGTTGGCGTCCACAATGATAAATGCCATATATACCACATCTCAAGAACAAAACTGGATATCTGTTCACTCGCTGTTTGAAACAGAGAAAAGGAATTATATAGATATTATAATGATGTAATGACCAATTTACATAGATTTTACTGACCTCTATCGGTAGATCTCCAAGCATCTAAGGTCCACAAAATTTTTTGGTGAGGTGAAAAGTCAGTTGGAGGCCTTGATGAGAAGTTCAAAGAAAAATCCATTGCTGACTTAATAAGGCCAGCCAAGGCCTGTTTGATTGGACAAGACAATACCGTATTATTGGGTGCACCACATGAATGTTATCTTAGACTATTTAGCGCACCACGATGAAAAATTGTACTTGATATACAACAGCGACAACAACATACCCAGTGTACTCCCACAAGTGAGTTCTGGGGTGGGTAGGATGTACACATACCTTACCCCTTGCTGTGTGTGGCAGACAGGTTGTTCCCGATAGACCCCCAAAAAAAGTACTTGATATAGTTAAGAAAAGAAAACCTTACTTGGCGTTGTTCCTCCCCATCAGTTAAAGCAATTGGCGAAAGATTCTGGCGTTGTTCCTCCCCATCAGTTAAAGTAAATGTTGAAAGATTCTGAAGTAGTCTTGTATCAAGGAAAAAACTGGCATCATCAGCTATGGGTAAAGTCTCTAGCCAACAATCAAAGCTAGAGCTTTGACAAAACATGTCAGGTAAGAAGACACAACAAGCAGGTAAAATGGATGTTCTTGGGGCTTGATTAATGCTCCTGAAATTCTCTTCCAACTTCTCCTTTTCAAAATCAAACCTTCTGGAAAGCATCTGCATAAGAAATGAATACACTTACCACAATTCTAAATAATCCACACAATGAAAAAGATAGGAAAAGGTAAAAAGCAAACCTGGTACATCTCCTCCAACTGCTCAACAGGTCTGATACCATTTTCATCAACTTTTGCCATGACATAAGATGACATAGAAAGACCTTACAAAGAATCATATTCAGTCAGATAAGATCCAAAACAAGTAAAGCATCCTATCACCAAGAGTACTGTATATTATGATCTAAATTGCTAGAGAGATTAGAACATTAGACATAACACCACTTTGATGACACACACCATCTATTTCAGAAGAGATGGTCGCATTATTTATCACGCAACACACCCGCTCACATGTGGGCTTGAATCATTTTTCTTGGGACAAGCATGTGAAAATTCTTTTGTAACTGGTACCAACGATATTTGAACCTAGAAGATATCACCTATATGGATTATCTACCATTGTACCCTATATTTAGCTAACTCTACATTGATTCCAAGAATTTGTCCACCTGATACCATGTTCATAGGTGTGTCATTTAAAAGCCTAACTAATCAGAGAGAAAGACACATTCACATAGTTATTTATTTATTGTAGGTCTACAACAAAATAAATCAAAGCTACAAATACACAGCAGAATCCAAAAAAATGACAATTTAAAACCACAAATACCTTTCTGCTAACTTTAAATCAAGCCAAATAATAAACCGCTATGAGCCACAACTATATATAACTAAACAACCATCCAAACCACCAGTAGAACCTTATCTTGTTACTTCATGAATGTATTGCCAAAAGAAAATAAGACTAAAAAGTTTGACAAGAACAATCAATTAGAATAGCGAAACCTACTTCTCGCCCTTGTACACAGCACCAAATGTAACTCAATGAAATGTGACCAGATCACATGAGATAGCAACAATACCAAATGATAAGATGTGTACCTTGCATGGCAAGGAGCCGTAGTTCTGGATTAGAATATGGAGCTGCTTCAGTGATTACATCATCCGTTGCTACAAAAGTATTTGAGTCAGACACAGAACTGGAAATTAGGAAAAAAATGGTAGCCAAATGATCAAAGAAAAGCTACCTAGCTCCCTGATTTTTCTCTTCCCCGGCCAAAGTCGTTCACAAAAGTTTAGTAGCTGACACAATTTCTCATATAATTCAGCAGAAGGAGGCAGATACGGATGCCCACCATGGACCCACAACAAGGACTTTTCCAACTGTGAAGGCCATTTTTTTGAGAACTTATCCAAATTCTCCACATCTCTCTACATAAGTAGAAGTTGAAACAGAGTGAAAACTCATTGTTATAAAACAAAAGGAGAACAAAGAAACAAATCAATTAAGAATTAGGCATAGTAAAAACAGACAAAAGTGACAAGCTAAACCAAGACAACTTACCTGAAACGTCTCTACTTCTTTTGGGAAAAAACCCGACAGTCTTGAAACTTCCTTCATCAAAGATCTCCAAGAAATTAGCAAGCACTCATTTTGAGAAGTAATAATGCCTGTCCATAGTAAAGTGTGATGTTCTAGGAGGTTACTGTACAACTGGAACAGCACATCAAAAGAAGGTGACTGGACAAACATTTCAAGTATGTTCTTCTCCAACTCTTGAAGAGATCTCAAAACAGGTTTAAAGAACTGTGTTTCACTACTGTATTTGTAACCTATCTCAGAGCTCCACTGCAGATGGCTAAGTCTCAGTAATCTAACACTCTTAATGGCGTTCACAAGAACACTGCAGGATTTCAATAGATTGTCAGCTGGCATTAGATCAACCAACTCTACTGAAAGCAAAGGTATTGGACAAGTATCCAAATTAACCAAATAATGAGACACAATCTCACGACGACAACTAAAAATCTGATTCCATATTGGATGTTCCAATTCCTTTGACAGAATAGAGGAATAAAAACTAAAGAATGAAGAATGTTGTTGTAACAGAGAACCAACATGGGAAAACCACAGAAGATAAAGCTTGTAATCACTTTCAGTAGCCTGTTCAAATACCCAATTTGCAGCATACAACAACATTTCCCGGGCTAAATCCAAGTTCAGTTCTTTTGCCCCATCACAAACATCAGCTTGACAGCTTAAATTTTTAGGAAACATCAGGGCATGCAAGAGCCTTGTATCCATCACGAGTGAGCTAACCATAGAAGTTGGAGCCAGTGCATTACGTAATGCAGCAGAAGTTGAATAACAGGCAGTCTGAGCTCCCAGGAACTCGAGGTACATGCAATTTTGCCTTATACAAGTTTCTTTTGAATATATAAGATAGTCCCTCAATTTCAGGGGTGCTGGCCATCCCCCTGGCATAGATAATAAACCAGCTTGAGAGGAGTTAAAGTCCTGAAACTTTGGTATTAGAGAAATAGGGACTCCCACCTGATCAACAATACTCTTGCCTCCATCAACACCAAATAAAGACACATAGGTATGCTGCCAACTCGTTTGCAAGCTCCATGAGAACTGGTTACCGTTTGTAAGAAGTTGCTGAAACAATTGCACCCAGCGTGCAAGTTCAAGAAGTGTGATCCTAATTTTGAGCAGTGCACCTTCAACCTTTGCATTCATGTGGGCATTGGCCATCAAATCAACTAAATTACCAGAAGGTACCCCAGAAAGAACAATGTATCTCTTTGCATTCTCAAGCTCGATATCAATTTCAGTGCATTTGTCATCAAACAACCAATCAGGCTCCATCATGAAAATTTCAACCCCTCTATTTCTCATTGCACGTGAAACCTCACCATTTAGAGGGTTAACTGTTAGAAACATCCGAAACTTAGGGTGTGGATGAAGAATTACAGGCTTTCCTTCAACTGTTCCACATTCATTTATGGTGATGGATCCAGATTGTTCAACTAAAGAATTTATCCTGTCAAGAACCTGCACAAATCAAGAGGCGCCAAATAACCATTGTAAACAAGACACGGCACCTTAAGATTAAAATTTTACACACTATAGAGATTGCAACAAAAATAATGAGAAGTTAAAAGACCATAAGGCATGGAAGAGAGAGAGTACGGACCGTTGGGTTACAGAGATTTGCATTATCTAATACTATCCACTCTCCATTTTCTATAGCCTTTACAAGCATGCCAGTTACCCACTCAAACTTTGAGGAATGTGTCCTTTTTGAGTGACCTTCTTCAAATTTCTTGATCATTGCAAGAGTTGTATCCAAATCCTTCATAGACCAAGACAAAGGCAATGATGTTTCCTCAACCACCAACTTTAGATGTTCAATAATGTTAACCAACGTAGAGGCAGACTCAAAGTACTTTGTCCTCCAAGTATCAACATACGAAGAGCAAGAACTTGTTGGAGGGTCATGCTTGATGCTTGATAAGAAGGACAGCCACAGAATAAACAGCTCTTTTCTCATCATAAATTCCTTGCATGAAGATTCCAGCTGCAGACCACAATATTCATTTATAAAGGATTCAATCCAAGCAATGGCAAGACGGAATTTTCGAACAGCATTGTGTTGCTCAAAGCTTCCAAGGAGCTCAGAAATATCAGTTGCAGAAGAAAGATTCAACTCATTAAGTACATTTCCTGTCAGCTGAGCAAGCAACCGTATCAATGAAGTTTTACCAGAGGATGCAGGTCCAACTAATATGCATAGCCACTGGTTTTTAACACATTGTGCTACAGCTTCCAAGCTATTGCGGAAGCCAGGCAAAATTTTAAGGTCGCTGTTGGACACTCCAGGTGACAGGTAACGATTTCGTTCGATAGATACATTCCCAACAATCAAATACTGGGGATTGAGCTGAACCCGCGGATGAGGATTTATGCTGGGCTTCATTTTGAATACCTGTTCATAAAGCTTTAATACCTCCACTCTATCAACAGCTGTCCGCATTCTTTGAACATAAACAGGATTCAGAAAGCAATCAGATTCTGATATACTTGGGGCATCTGAAAAGCGAAATTCATGTATTTGAGGTCAATCCTGTAAGACTGATATGAGAATAGGTTATCAAGAACAAAAGAACAGACCTTTTATGATTTCACAGGAACGAATTACATCTCGGAGATTGAACTCCCAAGGGGATCCTTCTTGAGCAAATTTATGAAGCAACATTATTTCTTCATGTAATCTCTTATTAAATAAAACCAGATTAGAGAGAAGAGAACGTGAAATTGTTGGATAGAGCGAACTAGAAATAGCAAGATAGTCATCCTCAACTAGCTCATCAACATAAACCTGAAACCAATAAGCATGAGATAGTTACTAGTAACTCTTTCATTAACTTATGTACTGCTGACAATTATAAACAGTGGCAAGGCAGACCTTCATAAATCTGTTGAGGAAGGACTTTGGAAGACCTTTCCGTCCCCCACCCTGATTTGAAGGATTTTGACAAGCAAAAACTCTGAAAGATGGTGGGCACTTGAAAGTGCGACCTAACTCTGGAATGAAAACCTCAGCCCGATGGTCCAAAATAGCATTTAACCCCTATTTTCATGGTAAAAACAAAAAACTGATTAACTAAGTGAGAGAATCAAGAGAATAAGATAACAATTGCAAGGAAACAGAACACAGTATGAAGGTAAAAGTGTAGATTTCGACCTCCAAGACAGACTGTGAAGCAAGATTGAGTTCATCCAAAAGCACCCATGATCCCTGCTTTAGAGCCTGGAAATACAGCAAATTTATGCAAATTATTTTGATTTACGGAAGCAAGCCATTCTACTGAAGGAACATAAACACACCTGTAAAAGAATTCCATCAGACCATGCAAATTGCATCCCTTCATCACCCTCGACAGGCAAATCAGACCCAAACAAGTCCATGATGTCCGTCTGTGTATGTCAATGTCCAAACCAGTAAGAATACATAATTACAGAGATATTTCAACATCTAAAAAGTACTAAAAATCTGAGGTGGGAACCAAATAGATTTATTGACCTGCTCTGATAAATTTATCCGTACTACTGTGTGCCCAGAAAATTTGCCAAGGGCTACAATTAAACTTGTTTTTCCAACGCCTGGGCTCCCTTCCAACAGAACTACAGAGAGTGAAATTACGAAGTCAGGGAACTTCATAGGCCAGTGAATTTCTTTGAGCGAGTTTCAGCAAATATGGCATGTGTGTATTTATACATAAACAAAAGGGAACAACAATTCCCATATTAAATGAAGTGTACCAGGTTTAGCAAGCTGCATGGCACGGAGCACTCTCAATGCATTCCTGCGGGTCGTTGGTGCTAGAAACTCAAATTTCTCACCAGCAAAACAATTCCCACCTAAGAAGATTTAAGCACAACATAGTAAAAAAGGAAGCAACACATAAGCATTTGGCTCCACCTTTAACTGTCAACCCGGAAACACGCAAAGCAGTCCAAAAATAAATAAATAAATAAATAAATACTGAGGCACAAAGTTTTACCACTTATTTGAGTGGGAAAACCTTGCAGGAACCAAAATTAGTCATGAATTGGCATCTCTTGATATCTAGATCACTACTTCAGCCCATTTTTTTTTTCAGACTGTCCAGAATATAATTGGAGTGTCTTCAGGCTAATTCTGGCCAAAACTTTGACATCAATAAAGTGGTGGATCACAGAAGAAGCAAGTGCAAGTGGCTATAATAAGTTACAATCATTAGAATACTAATAAATTTATCTCTGGAATTTAGAGTCCTTTGTTCAATATAGCTATTTTCTCGTACAGTGCTTAGAAATCATAAACACCGTCTCTACTCTTTATGAAACTCAGTATTTACCTCAACTTAAGAAAAACTTGTTTACTTTACAGCCGTAAGTTCTGACAGCTGAACAATTCAGACACTTGTACTGCCATATTTGGTTAGCAAGTCAACTTGTTTAGTCACCAAAGTGGCTCTTCCAGGAAATATGACAATTTCAAAGGAAGATACAGTCCACTGGTAGGACAGTGACCCATGTGTCAACCTGCTTTGATCTTCCAAAGGCAAAAATTTTAACATGTTCGGGATGGGGATCCCTAAGAATATAACGGGTATTAATGTACACTACGACCGGAAAAAGAATTTACCTCCAGACTACTCAATGTGAATTAGATGCATTTTTTTAGATGAAGTCAAATATGAATTAGATGCATTAAAATTGTTGAAACTCATTGTCAATAAAAGAAACCTTCCAATGCTGAGAAGACAAATACATGTATTTGATTCAGGATGAACAAGTCCAAGATAATTGAGTTTCTTTCATAGAGAACCAAATTTTGGCATAGTTTCTCTTCTTTTGGTGTACGGCTTATATATGGGGTCTACCCCATCATTTAAAAGATTATTCATTTTACCCCTAAAAAGGGAATCGACAATTCCCAACTGTTCATCTGGCGAACAATATGAACAACATGATTAACTCTTAAGCAACAGCAAGGTTAGAGAGCAGAACTTCCTCCCAAATGACTTAAAGCAATAAAGCAGTAATTTCTTTTCACAATATTTTCCTATATGGTTATCAAATCTGCTAAGCAAATAAGCATGCATTATCAGCAGCCAAACTTCTCATGATAAATTTTTAGATCATACCCAGTACATCATACCTTTCTCAATGTAGAAAGGAGGAATCCCAAAGCGATTGTCACATTGCATTGTATCACTGCACTCTATAACAGCAGATCTTCCAGGATCGGCCCAACCATAAGGCACCAGCATGGAAATATTTGAGCAATCAAAACTAAGATTGAGCTCCTACAATGGCGAAAGGAGATACTTGTTACGAAAGAAATGTTACAAGAAACAGTACAAGTACCTCAAACAAGCATGTGAAGACCAGGATGATCAACTAGTAGTATTTCATTTCCCAAGGGACAGCAAATGTTGGAAAATTACTGGAATATGATAATATATGTTCCCTCTACTTCTCTGGGACTTACGACAAAATAGATTATTCCTAGCATTTCTATTGAAAAGGTGGATCCCAGCTAACTTTTCTGTGAGAACAGAAGGCACTTCTAGATGGACCTATTCCGTTTAACCTTTCTAGAGATGACAGAAATATGAAAAGCCACCACTCAAGATTGAAAAATCATGTTTACTGTATCTACATTTTTTACGTTTAAATCTGTAAAATCTTTCAAACAAATTGATCAAAAAAGAAATGATTTATTATGTAAAGAAGTATAAGATGAGACCTTTAGTCCATCTAAAAGAAATGAAAGGCATTTCTCTCGCAACCCTGCAGCATCTGTCCTTGAAATATTTGTACCTGAGTAAAATAAGTATTAACAGAATGAAGAAAAAAAAGAGAAACAAAATCCCCAGTAGCAGAACAGACATTGTCGACCAGCAGGAACATATGAAGTAAGTTGTAAAATCTCATGGAAACCTATACAAGAATAGCCATTTTTCTCAAGATATAAAGAAGAGATTCCTAGAAATTGAATTAGTAGTATAGCTGATATAATTGAGCAATAAGAAAATAATAAGGTAAACTTGTGCAGAAACCATGTATATAAGAATGGTATCCATCCTCAATCATGCATATGCAATAAGTTTTCACAGGCAAATAAAAAACCAGAGGAGAAGATACGAGTGCATCAACAGATGAGAAGTATTAGATGGTTGATGTCATGATCCTATATGAAAAAACTATATTTCAAATACTGTTAAACCAAAAAACAGAAAGCTTTAGTAGTAAAGTCGCTAGAAGGTTCACAAACCCAAACTTAGACCGTCCAGCAGAACAAGAAACGCCCCATGAAGGAACGCAGATTCTGGTTGAAGAATTCTCTCTGTCACATTAATAAAGGATACCCAGGATAGAAGATCTCTCACGGTAAGTGCCCTTCCTGTTTGTAAATTGTTGAACCACTGAATTTAAGAAAAAGAATGTCAAACATACTACCATAAAGATTTAAAGGTGTTAAAAAAGGATAAGGAGGACATACAGCATCTGTCACTAGATTTCCTTTACAAGTAGAGTCAAGTGAGTATCACCCATAACAGAAATCAAGCTAACTTAACTAAAGACAGTGACAGAGAATCATCAAAGCTACAATGACCACAACCAACGTATAGCTCTAGATATTTCGCGTGCTATAAGCCCAACCGCTGCTTGGATAAAAGTGGAACTGGCTGTGCAAGCATGCAAGCCTTTATGACAAATTAAGGTTATATAATACAAGGAAACTGCATACCTCCCAAAATTTCATCATAAGATCTACCAGCACACTAAAGCTTGTGTTTGAAATGCTGCAAAACGAAGTTTGTCAAATCAAACAAGACCATTTATGACCAGAGCCGCTCATGGGAAACAAGCCATCTTTAGGAATTGATGGAAAATAAAAACTTTGCATTTACAAACCTCTCAAGAGCAATACTATTAAGCTCATCCAACTCAGTAATAGGTGGCACCCATATCTCCGTGAACCTATTGCGAAGGGCAGGAGACAATTCTTTTTTGCCAAAATCACCACCAGGATTCATTGTTGCAAGTAGAAAAAAGTTAGAATGAGCAGTTATTTTCTGGAGATCAGACCCTCCTTTCTCTGCCAAAGACTGCAGAAATACCACATATCCAATGAATGAATAATTATCAATGTAAGGAAAAGAAAACGGACAATCAAAAGAAATTTGGCCAAGTTTTTGACAAGATAGATAAGAAAAGGTGGCATGTAATGAGGAAGCAGGAGAGTCAACCTGAGAACACAGCGCCGAAACAAACAAGAAGCATAAGCAAGCTCTCATAAAAAATGTAAAAATCTAGACATACATAAACAGCATGGGGTAGAAAAAATTGCATCAAGACAAAAGCACCAGACCCTCCTAGGAGATGACAGATTATGCAAGATTTGATACAAATACAGTATGAACTAATTTCAACCAACGAAGTAAAGACTTCACTTTGGCATTCTTATTTGAGATGGCAAGTGAATTCAAATGTAAATAATCTGTGTACTATCACTTTAAACCATATAAGTTACCCACCAGTTTCCTTTCTGGCTCCAATACGCTGTTTAGTCTTTCAAGTACACTGTCATCAGCTAAAGAGATTTCATCCACAAGAAATAACTCTCCTTTCTTCATTGCTTCAACAAGAGGTCCATCTTGCCACATAAAAATGGTCTGCCATTTCTGGCACAGTTGAACCAAGTCCAAATTCAGTTGTCCAATGTAGTCGACATCTTGACTAGTTACATCAGGATGACAAACTAGACTCTGCCTGTAGCTACTTAAGATAACAGACAGCTTATGAAGAGTGGAAGAAGCATGATTGATATCTGAAGAAATCACCTGCGGAGCATATATGTGACAAGAAACATCAGTGTCTAATTAATAAAAGAAAAGAACCTCTTCTCATACCAGAATATGGAATGAAAATAAACATACAGAATCTCCAGGATAGTTCACAATAGCCTTGGAATGCATCAACTTCTCGCAAAGGTGCTTGAAATCTGTAGAAATTTCGATCTTTCTCGTACAGGATAGAAACCCTGGTAAGGATATCAATAAACAGCCATTTCCATAAGATATATATAGAAAGAAAGAAATGAAATACATAAACAATGACAGTAAATTGGATGATAGAATCTACCAGGACCAATAAACACAAGCATTGCAATCAAAAAAAAAAAAAAAAACAGGGCAAAGTAAGCTAACCCCAAGAAAATCAGATGTTTCTGTATATTGATGGCAATTCAAAATGTGCAATTTTGAACCCAAAATGATACTAAGCAGCTGGCAAACAGTAGTTTTCCCTCCCCCCGTTTCACCAACAAGGAGAACAGGCTCACGCAGCTTGTAACAGCGCTCAACAAGAAAGTACAACCTCCACATACTTCTAGTCCAAACAATTCTGCAAAAAAAAATAAAAAATGAAGCTAACCACAGCCAAAAAGAACTTAGGGTTCGTTTGGTTGGGAACAAGTTATCCCAGGATAACTATCCTAGGATTAGTTATCCTGGGATAACTTATCCCACCATGTATATGGGATAACTTATCCCATCACTATGGTATAAATTGTGGGATAAGTTATCCCAAACTTGGCGACCAAACAAGACACCAAAATAGGACTACTTTCTTATCCCAAGACGATTTATCTTTATCCCTCACACCAAACGACCCCTTAAAGATTAACTACTTTACAACACATACTTGTTCAGCTGTCCTGCGACTCCTGAATGCTTAATAACCTCCAAGATCTTATCTCTACCTCCTCCTTCCTGCACCAAAAAAATCAGAACTCGGTTTATTCAAGCAATTTGGTAGCACTCTGTATTTACATACTACCATGAGCATATACAGAAACAAGTGAACTAGAAGGATCCTTCTATCGTACCATATAAAAATCTTGCATCTAACACTAATCAGAAAAAAGAAATATCATACAAGTACATAAGAGAGATGAAAGCAAATCTGACACACATCAATTATCCTACCCGAATCAAGGTACTAGTTTTGTTCCAGACAGTATCAGGTTGAAATCAATATGTAGTATGAGGTTATACTGGTAGGAGGGGTGAACAACAATGAGAAGCTAGCAGCTTGGCAGAGGTGTTTAATTGCAACATATTCCAATAATAAGATTTCAGTTAAGAACTTTTTGTTGGTGAAGCAATCCAGTCAAATTTTTAAATTCTCCAACCACCCAGTCTTGTAGATTCCTCCTAAACCTCAAATCCCAAAGAACCTTCCCCACTCCATAACCGGTGGACGACTAACTGATGAACGTCACTAAATAATTAGTTTATCCACAAAAAGAAAAACTGAAAGGTCATCATGACATGTCTTTGATTTGAAAAAACTGACACAACACAGTGAAAAGAATATGACATCAATCTGATAAGGAACTCACAATGAAAAGAATATGACATCAATCTCATAAAGAACTCAGATCCGACGATTCAACTACATGCCAAAAGGTCCCTTTGATCAGGGTCTAAGTAATTGATTAAAAAAACGAGAACATAAAGTTATCAAATGTCAACTAAAATAAGAAGACTCATGTGCGTGTAATGCAATAGCTCCTCTAACTACAATTTCTGCCCTTCAAAGGTTGTCAGCTGCTTCTAAAATTTGATCACCAGATGATGACCCAGCAATGACCCCACACCAATTTCACTCTTCTTAATTCCACCCCCACCCCCATCATAGATTGTCTAACTAGCAGCCTTATTTGCTCTCTCTCTCTCTCCCCCCCCCCCCCCCCGCTCTCTTTCTCTCTCTCACTCACCCAAATAGATTCCATTTTTTAACCTTCTGTGAAAAGTAATGAGCTTCAGAACATCATCAGTAAAACAGTACATCGAGCACTGCTAGCAATTCAGGAAGAAAATAATTTAGTCCCCCCCCCCCCCCACACCCCACACAGATAGAAAGAAATAGGAGAGCCTTTGATGGAATAGAGAAGGATTTTGTTCATTTGCAGAAAACCATATGATCCTGTAATGTTCTCTTCTTCTTCTTCTTTTTTTTTTTGTGTGTGGGGGGGGGGACGGTTACTCATTGTCCATAAAATCTTATTTACTTGATAATAAAAAAGAAACGTAGTTCCCTTCTGGGACTGCATCAACACTCAACACTCTTTTTTCCGAGAAAGGTAACATTTGTATACATCACCCGAAAAAAGGGTGTGCTGAGACTTGCTCTTTCATCATTTCAAGTCAGTATCAAGCAAAACAATAATTTCATTATGAGATTTCCTGCAATATCTTTTGAAAATCCAAGGGAGGTAAAAGTGGTAACTCCATAAAATAGGAGAATCTCCCAGCATCAATAACAACCATAAGAGTTGAAAACTTATAACTATGTACTACGCAGCGTAAGTAGTGAGGAAAAAGAGATAAACCTGCTTGTACATATCATCCTCAGCAAGCCTAACCCGCAACTGCTGTTCCAAAACTGCCTGGACAACTTTTTTCTCATCATTATCTCGCAGTCTCTCGGCCATCAAATAATAACCGTCACGAGCTAGGTCTTCGTAGGACTTCCCAAATTCCCTGAAACGGTTAGCCCACCGAAACAGATCGCGTGGAGTAATGAAACCATGTTTTCCAGCAAAAATTTTAGTACTCTGCCTATGCAATTGCAATTCCTTCATGACAGCAATCATTTTCCTAGAATAGCTTTCTGGAATTTCACACCTATTGGTCAATATTGTGCTCAACTCATCTTCTGGAATTTCATCGACATGGATCTCCACGAAACGGTTGCGAAATGCTCGTGATAGAATTTTGCGTCCACCATATAAGGTAGGTGGATTCTGAGTGGCAAACAACATGAAGTTTGGGTGTGCTCGAACAGTTTCACATAACTCAGGGATGAAAAGCTCTCTATTATCATCTAGCAACCTGTTCAAAGCTTCTAACACATCCGATGGGGCAAGGTTAAGCTCATCCAGAACTATCCAATGACCGTTTCGAACCGCTTTAACAAGGGCACCCTCATGAAAGACAAGCTTCCCATTTGCATCAGTGACATAGGAACCCAGGTACTCCTGTAGATCAGTGTGTTCGTGGTTATTGATCCTCACAAACTCATGACCGGTTATTGCAGCAAGATACTGGACAAGGCTCGTCTTTCCACTAGATGTTGGCCCCTGAAGCAGAACTGGGTATCTTCCAACAAATATGGCACGCGCCAAGTTTCTAATATGCTCCTTGACGCTCTTGGTCAAAACATAGCTCTCTGTCAAATCATCAGACCCTGAGTTTCCTCTATCTAACAAATAGGCATCAAAGGAGATCTGCGGAGGTATTTTTCCCTCTAATAAATATACAGTAATCAATTGGTTCATTAATTTAGCACTTGGTACATCTAATGCAATCAGAAAAAACATACAAAAACCATCATAAAGGGCTTTTGCAAGACCAAAAGTTCTCTTCGCTTTTTTTGTGTATTCTAGTGCACGGTAAAGAGACCTTAAACTATATTGGGGCTTCTGGTTAGCACCATCCTGTAATTTATCATCAGATTGCTTCTTGGCTGCTTTATAGAACTGCACAATTTTACTAACTAGTTCTCTATTTGAATGATCCTCATCAATAAACTGACTAATAAACAAAGAAAGGTCTTCATCATCCAACAAATCATCAACAAAATATTCTGTAAATCTGCACCTTAACGATACGGGCAAGTCTCTCTTCCCAGCATCAGTTGCAGGATTCATGCAGGCAAATATGCGGAAGTTCGAGTGTCTATTTACATAATCAACATCACCCCTTTCAGTCAAACAAAGAGATCCAGTCTCTTCTTCAAGTACACCGATAACTCGCTGCAAGGTCTCCGGAGGAGCCAAGTTCACCTCATCAAGCAGTATCCATTCACCATTCTTAAGTGCAGAAATAAAAGCTCCTTCTACAAAAGAAAATATCATTCCACCAGTAGCACCAATCTGCATACGCGCTTTATCTAGCTTCAGGGAAAAGGTTTCCCAAGCCTTTATCAGTTCATCACCCAAAGGTCTCTTCCGCTTTGTACCGGACCCAGATCTTCCTATTTCAATTATCTTTCGGACACCTTTCTGAAATCCACCTAATAACATCTTCCAATTCTTTTCAGAAACAAACTTTCTTAAACGTACAAGAAAATCTCCATTCTCCTGAAACAAAAGATTGTAATATTGGTTAAGCAGCACGAGAAAAACATTCAGAGAAGTAAAATCTCGAAAATTACCTTGGAAGAAAATGTAGTAGTAAATAGGTTCTCAAACTCCTTATAAAGGGGTATACAGATGAACTGAGCATCAATTGGTTTGAATCCACCCAACAAGTCAGCTATATCACTTTGCTGACTCAAATTCTGCAAAATAATATGTCGCTCAGTGAGGCTGTTAAATGCAAATTTAAATCTTATTGTTCATAGATCTTTATCTAACATACCAGGACTGTAAGTTTTTGACCAAGTCTCGATGCAAGACTCTGTACAAGAGTGGTTTTCCCTGTACCAGTTTCACCCACCAAAAGAACTGGCTCATTATACTTAACAGAGCAAGCTATTCTCTCAAGAACGTGGATTAAATTACGAATCTCAACGAAACGCTTCTTCTCTTCCCAGGTCTATAAAAATCATAAAGAATTCAGAGAGGTGCAAAAGAAAATATCAAGATTTATAAAAAAAAAAAGCGAACAAAATAGTTCAGAAATTTCACTCACAACCCTGTGGTTGCGCTTAAGAACAACCCTCCCAATACGTAGCTCAGACACCAGTTCCTGCAGAGCGTTGCAAATAAGAAAACGAAGCTGATATAGCAATGAAAATATCACATTACAAAATACCAAATACCTGAATAACAGGCCTATTAATGGGATACAAAGTCTCCACGGATCCTACTGACCACATTTTAGCTATCTCTTTCACTACAGCCAACCGTTTTTCAGCTGTTGAAAAGGCAGCAAAGATGTCTACAGCCTACAAAGTCAAATCACCAACCTTTTTAGCATAACTGAAATATTTACCAAAGAAAGATGAAATGAGCATAGTTATCATGTTAGACCTCCTTATATATGTTTTCACGTGCATAAGCTGAAAGACCATCCCCGCCAAAATGAAAACCCAAACCTGCAATTCTCTTGCACCATTTGAGGAGATCCCTGCAATTGATAAGCATGGTTAAAGCCGACAATATTCTACAGATTCAGATGATGGGTCGTGACAGAGCTTACCTTAGTGAAAACCTTCCATGAGAACCTAGAAAGGCACTATTTCCAAAATGACATCCTACTAGCTCATTAACTCTATCAAATGTTCCTGCAAGATGCACACACAGATTTAAATAGATATTGTAGAGGTAGACAACCTATCAAGAACAAATAGATCTATCATACCAATAAGTTCTGCTGCCAGAGACTCCAATTCTGGATACCACTTGTTCACAATCTTCAGCAAGTCCTGATGACTTGAAGGTGCAATCATTACTCTCCGCCAAAGCACACTAACAGAACTCTTACCTATTAAAGAACAATGCCACTTTCAGCTAATAAGGGAAAGTAACCCAAAACAATGAGAAGGGTAAAATAGATAACAAGATCTACATTTTCCAATAAAGTGAAGTCCTATTGACATCAATAACATAAACAGCAAAAAAATAGTATCGGTACTATGGCCAAAGGGTCATTAGAGACATCTCACCTTTAACAGAAGCTAGAAAAAAAATTGAAACATTCTAAGGACAAGCTTGTAGTTGTCATATACCGTAATCTTGTCAGTTCTAATTTGGAGCTCGCCTCCCTCAAGGTTTGACAGTGCTGCCAACAATTGGAAAAAGACTCACAATCGTTGTTGAAAAGCAGACCGTCCAAAGACACAAGTAACTAACACAGTAGTGAAGGTATCTTGGAAAGTACTTTGAGAACTTCGAGGACCCAAACCCACTTCTACTTAAATTTTATCTAAGTACCAACATGTAGGAAGAAAGTCGACCAGTTTAAGAGGCTCTCAAGCAACAAAAGAAGTTCACCTACCAATTATCAGAAAAACCAAAGAAAAACTGCAAATACAGAATCTATTTCTCACCAAGCATCGAAACCATAAGTGTGTGCTGATATTTACAAATAGGGTGAGGAGGGGGGCACTAACAACAGATTCCAAATACTAGCAAGTAGGAAAAAATCACACACATATAAGCAGAATGCTAAAAAAAGTGTTAGGTACATACAGAGTGGATAAGAAAACCAGAATTTATGAGTCATGATACCAACCTTCCATAGATATATCTAGCTTAGTGCTTGTCATCGTGGAAAATAACCGAAAACCTTCATGGACCTGGATTCCCTGCAGTGGTTCATACGTATTGGTGTTCTTTCATCATCAGAGTAACATGCACGAGAAGAAATATAGCATTTCACCAATCAACTTGTGATGCTAGGATGCAAGGACCAATCAGCAAATGAAGGCCAAAAAAGGGCCTAGCTTTGGAAACAATAAATCGCAGTGGCAAACAGCAACATCATCTATTTAACTAACTAAACTGCACGGATACAGAAGAATGAAATGCGCACACTGTCTCTAAACATGGATTTGTCAAGAAATGCAATATGAATAATGATGGCTAAAACACTACTGAATATGTTCCTTACAGGAAAGATATAGTTACCACAAGTTAGAAAATTACAAGTTGTCCAATCAATGGGAACTTGGAAAGAAAAAGAATTTCACTTATATTCAGATGTAAAGACTACAGAATATTATTGACTTGTCTTTCCCTACTTGAGCAATGAACAGTTCAATCATCAAAGTGGTCACTCAAAATCACTATCAAATTGATTTAGATGTGCATAAATAAGCATAAATGTTATTAAGAGATGCACAATAGCACTCCATATAAATGGTTGAAATTTACAAAAAAATTCGAACAACTAATTAACTTGAAATAAAACAGATGTTTCCAAGAAGCTAGTTGAAGAGCTATACAAAACTGCACAAAAAAACAGTAGGCCACCGCTTTCCTTCATAATCTGCTTTTAACAGATTGTAAAGTCAGAGAGAGTAAAGATATTACAACCATAAACGTATCAATCTAATTAGCAAATTCAGACAAAGCAGCATGCAGTCAAGAGCAACAAAGGATAAGCATGATAACACTAAAATCTTCAAAAACAGGCAAAGGTAACATTGCAAAATACCTCTCCATGCCCAGTGAAGAATGAAGTTGCGCCTTCTAACAGAGGCAATAAGATGCATTGAACATCAGGAGGCGCTTTATCGACATCCTCAAAGACAACCCAGAATCCATTGGAAACAGCCTGCACATCATAATAATCATCACTCCATGACAAGGTAGGAATAATGAAAAACCTATTGATTTCTCGAACGAGTATGAAACCTGGGTAAGTGAACCAGGCTGCCATCTGAATTCACCAGGTTGTTCCGTACAGACATAAGTGCCAACTAACATCTTGCCATCAACTTGCTCATCCATGTGAAGGAATAGAACTGTATTTTTGAAAATGTATCAACAAGAAAACAGCAGGCACAGACAGAACAAACCAAGAGCTTTTTCAAAGCACCATAAGCGAAAGTGTTGTTAGCCGTTAATGAAAGTGTATGGCTAGATGATCACACTCACATGTTGTACAAGTACACATTCAAACTTGGGAATCAAATGTCTATCCAACTTAAGATTTTGAAAATTTTATGACAATGGATAAATCAATTCCAAACCTGAATGTCAACTGAAACTTATATCGAGTGATGGTACCACGTTCAACTTGTGAAAGATATAACGAGTCTTTTGCAATATATATGTTCAAGAATGTGAAAACAACTGTGTTCCTTAAATTGTGCCATATCAACAGTGGACTAATAGTCCAATACAAAGTTCGATAAACATAGAAGAGAAAGTGAAGGACAAAATGAAGAAAATACATGGGGCATGTGTTACTAAATCTGGGGAAGGGAAATTTTAAAAATGTTAAGGTTGCTTCCCTGCTGGTTATTGGAGACTTGGGACTTCACTTGGATTGAGGTATTTATGAATCTATGAGATGCAAATTAGCTACCCTATCAGATGCCACTTCAGTACAGTTTAACTAATTTTGACTTCATGAACAGAAGCTTAAACCACATTTAGCTACATTAAGGCCACGTTAGATTTATTTTTAAGATTAAGATGTTTGAATCTCAATATATATTATGAAAACAGATACCATTTGCATATGTAATATTATTTGCAAATCAATTTTTGGTTTACAACTTTGTCCATTATTTCAACTTAAAAACTTGAAATACTGGCTTGAAAGAGTATTTCCAGTGACATAATGGTTCACTCATAAAACTTCAATTTCAACTTCCAAATGCTATTTTCTAACTTCAATCAAATACTCAGTCTTTTCAACTTCACCCACATTTTGTCCAAATGGGTGAACTCCAAATCTAAACACTATAAACTAAAACTGCTTGTTTTTTATGATCCATCATTTAGTTAACAACTAAAAAGTTCAAATAATATGACAGTTAAATACCACATCCAGAAAATATTCAAGAAAATCTTTACTTGCATATTAAAAAATGTTTCTCTGATGAAGCACACTCTTAAAAGTTAATAGCAATGTTGGTTGTGAGTTGCAGGAGATTTATCTATCTATCTGTATCTCTTCGTGTTCTATTATTTTGGTTTCTTCCTCTCAACTCAAACCATGGAACTTCTCTTCCTAAATTGCTCGAGGCCCAGTAGTAGGCTAATGAGGCCTAATTTGTCTCCCTTTACTCTAGGCTCAATCATATTAACCTCACTTCAAAAAAGACCAGAAAATGGAGGGGGGGGGCAATCAAATCCAAGTGCAAGTCCCAGAACCATGTTATACACACGGAAGGCCGTTAGAGAATGTTACACTTGTTTCTCATCGATTGTGCAAAAGGGTATTCGAAGGAGTTTAAATAATCTTGGGCTACTCTGACCTATCACCTTATGATTTAGCATCAGATACTTAAATTCTTTCATAGAGTTAATTGGTGGGGGTGGCCAGTTTTGGGAACGGATTGGTGAAGGTGGAGCTGGTTGGTGGTGCTAGTGTGATGGTGTCTGGTTGGTTGATAATATCGGTTGTACGGTCATCGTGATGGAGGTGGGGGTGGCTACAGTGGTGCGCAAATAAAGATGATTAAAGGTGGTCATGGACTGGTGGTTGCCAGTAGGATGTGTGGCGAAATCTGGAAGTGGAGTGGATAAAGCAGTGGTTAAAGGCTTAAAAGCACATCTTCACATGAATCATTGACTGAACGTCCTAATGAGATCGGATGAATCAAACTAATTTAGAAAAAATGTGTGTAGTTGTAAAAGGAAAAAAGGTAAATGCATTTACAAGGCTGAGATCCGAATAATTCAATAAAGGAATATAATAAACTTAATTATTCAAATGGATGCTACCATATTTTAAAATACTTTAGGTAGACTTAAATTAACCACATAAAATGATGGAAAAGAGCACACTAGACTCTTTCCATAGATGTCAATGTCTTAAACAAACAATAACAAGTAATTTAACCTTTTAAAATATTAATGACTTGTTTATGTCTTTTTGACTTTTTTACATCCTTCTGGTCTTGGAATCGAGATACACTAACTTTACAAGCTCAACCAAACATCCACAGCCAACAATCAAGCAACAAAAAAAACATATAAAAGATATACATATGTTATTGATGATTGATTTTCACAGGGAGCAAAAACAACATACCCCGACCCCCATGAAGTTCGGCTAACTTTGAAATCAATGCAGTTTTTCCAGCACCAGCAGGGCCATATAGAAGAACTGGCCACCTCTGACTAAAAGCCAGAAACACCATCTCATAACCCTTCTGCATAGCAGAAGTCAAGATGAAAGGTTTCCCACAATCCCTGCATGTTTTTTTATGAATCAACATTAAATGCTATTAAGGTAACAAAGCAGCAGCGTGGAGAAAGAAATCCAGAAAGTGACAGGTCTATGATATAAAGGATCTCAAAGACCGCGCTTTGTAACCACCCACTTCCCAACTAGCCCCAATTACTGAATCACCAATGTAAATGCCGACTTTTAAACGCATCGACAAGCAAATTATCACAGAGATTGCTATTTTTAGGAGTGCTCTTACCATGTCACCTTCTTGTCCCCCGACTTTAACAGTCCATTCTCCAGAATGGTTGAGGATGAAACTGAAGAATCAAAAGGTGAAGATTGTAATGAACGACATTGGTTGTATCCCATGCTTCCACCAGTTGAGTCACAATTACTTTTGCGCGGGGATTCTAGGTACCAGGCTGCTTTCTCCAGTGCTACATCCTGACAATATTCTTCCCAGCTGTGGATTTTGAAACATCAATTCAAACATGAGAAACGTATGAGAAGATTCAGATAAAAAATTCAATGAAAGGATGAAATGCTGCATATCATAATTCAAATCTCGGCATGGAAGAATAGCACGAATCCAGTAAAAAGGAAAAACATACGCTCTGAAGTCAAAATATTATTCATATCACGAATCAGAGCATTAACCAAGAAATTAGCAGCATCGGATATCAAATATCTAGCTTTGATTCCAATAGCCTTTTCAAACTAAGGATTTGCTGTGACTTAAATCAAGCAGTTGATACACTTATCTCTTTAAAGAAAAGAACATTAACTCAATGAACTAGAAAGCAAAACTTACCGCAGTAAACAGGAACAAGCTTCTTGAGAACAGAGATTGAAGTTTGCTATCGCTCGATCATTTAACTTTAAAAGTATTGACAGTATTCTTATCCCACACCATATTATGTCATGCGCGCATCTATTTGGTTCTTCATTTTTACCCAAATAGAAATCATGAAACTGATTTATATTGTCCAAAAGGCAAGACCAGTCCCACATTGTAGAAAAAACTTCAGGCTCTGCTAGAAGGAGACGATATGAAACTCGTATTGCATTCAGCAAACCACCCCCATCCTAATAAGAGAATAGTTAGGCAGCTTATAAAATTTGTCATGCTAAATTGGGTTGAAATAATACTTGTACCCAAAAATAGAGAGAAGAAAACCGCAGAAAATAAGGAAATTTTGAATGGGATGGAGAACTCATTACCACATTGTTAAGACTAACAGAAACTTATCGTCATAGACTTGCACAAGACAACGAGTTTACAATAATAATTAGGTACTCAATTTAACTCCCTAACTCAGAAAAATGTGAAAACAATCTATAGCTCAATAGACCACCAGAATCGATCTCTAGACTAGACTCCAGATATACAGAATCTTAAGCGCTTACTCTATAGACCATAGGTAAGTTTTCGGCCTGTATTGTTCACACACATATCTCATTACCAGCAAGGGTTGCAAAAAAACATTCAATGATAACAACATTTGAAGCAAAAAATGACTATTAGAACAAACTCACTCCAGCGCTATTATGGCTGCAACCATAATATTTCTCGATGAAGGAGTTAATGCAAATATCTATTGACGATAGCCCATTTCCACAAAGAAAGTCCAATCCTATTCTAAGAAACCTAAATAACCCAAGTGGTACTACACATCACTTGAGAGTGGTCTCTCATCTGGCAAATGATTTGACAAATGCAAGTTCACCTCCTATCACACTCATATAAATTATAAGCCTCAACGGAAAAAGAGGAATGTGGAATGGAATAGCCTAATAACGCAAATGTAACCGCCAATGATAATGAGATACTAGATGAAGTTTCTCAATGATTCCATGAATGATCTAATGATGATTCTTGTCTAAGTGTGTGACCAAATTCTTTTGCATGGTCAAAACAGATGAAAATTCTATGTGCTGGTTGTGTGGCAGTGAGACTCGAACCTAAGATCTCTGTGTGTTTGGATATCCTGTTTAAGTGTGCGACCATCTTATCGAGCTAAAGTTGTAGTAAACACATTTTTATTTACTAAAGGGAAAAAGATTAAAAATGCCCTTAATGTTATCATAAATAGTACAAAAATGTGTCCCTTCCTCCTATTAGATAGGGGATGCCTTCAGCGTTTTATTAAATCTAAAAATGCCCTTTTTAAAACGCACAATGACATGGCAATTGATAAGTCATTTAATGAAACAAATAGCTTCATCTTATTGGTCCACATAAACTTTTAAACCCAATTTAACTACCCAACTCATCCTAGCTAAAAACCCCAAACCCACCCAATATTACTCATACCCGAGGTCATGCCACACTCATCTATCAATTCAAAATTGGTTTCATATTAAAACTGTGTAAAATCAAGAAAGAACAATATCCTCAAATTTCGGTCATTCCAAGTTACAATTCACCAATATCCTCAAAACTCAAGACCAATCTAACATCTACAATCTGGTAGAGGTATAGCACGACCAAGTCGTTGCATTGGAGGAAGGAGAAAACAAAGGAGAGGGATGCATCAAAAATTACCTCTTAAGGACGAGACAGGAGGAAGACAAATTCCGAATGAGAATTACATAGACAATTATGGAGCAAAAGTTCGATATTAAGAAGAAAAATACCAGAACAACTGCCTCGATAACTGATTTTCTCTGTCTAATCCTTTCAAATGGAGGGGGAGCAAACTCAAAATAACCCAAGACAGACCTGCGCCAAGGAACACATGTTAGCTGTTACTCTAACAATTGACACAGAAATGCATTAGCAATTTATAGGTATGCAATATTATCCTCGATTACCACAGGACAGCTAAATAAAAAATACTTAATAAGGCATCCATATTCCGTATGATACATAATAACAATGTTCATTTGATTCCAGAACCAAACAGAAGAAAATGCTTTACCTCAATAATGAACGAACCAAATCATAAGCTCTACAAAAAGCAAGACAAGCTAGCTCATGAAGTTTCAATCCCTTCCCTCTTTTAGCATAAACATTAATTATATGAATAGTATCTTCAATATCTAAATCTTCAACTTCTCCACGATCATCTTCTTGGTCTACCTCCATCAAGTCCTCACCCTCATCATTGTTGCACCTCAAATTTGGTACCAAACTAAGCAAGGAAACAGCTCTGTCCACAATTCTCCGAGCTAGCGGGCGAAAACATCCAATTAAAGGGATTGTATACTTCGGATGTATCACAATTTCTCCCACAGCATTCACCACTTCTTCTTCTGTAACTTTATCACCCTATCAACAATAAAAATTGAAACTTTCATACTCAAAAAAGATACTTAACACAATAAATAGTTAAATTTGTAAGATTTTCAGTACCTTGTTTAACAAGTAATCAAATTGGGATAACGAAGCAAGTTCAGGGCACCGAGTAAGGAACCTCTGCAGCTCATAATCCACACGAAAACTCCCATCAAATGACATTTTTTCTGAGTACATATATGAATTGAAACTTAATTAGCCTCTTTCAAAATCAATTTTTGTATCTTCTGAGTTCTTCAAAGATGCTACAGGTGAAAGGAGAAGTGTGAAGGTGATAAAGCTTTAGCAGTAACTAGGGTTTAGGGTTTAACAATTCTTATTTTGCCGCTTCAGTTTTAATTTATATGTTTCGAATTGGGTTGGTTTAAGTATTAGGGTCTGCGCGAAATTGTAAATTATGCCACGAGGGTATAGAGGGCTGAGCATTCAGTTCGGTTTCGATTTTTTTATTTTTTATTTTTTTTGAATATTCAAGTTTTAAAAAAAATAAATAAATAAAAGTGCACCGAACCGAAATTATGTTATTACGGTTCGGCTTTGGTTGGATGTAAAAAGAAAAGAATAAACAAATGCATGGTCTGCTTGTGGCCGGTCGGCTGCTGCTGCCTGCTGCTGGTCGGCTGCTTCTGGTCGCAGCGGTCGGCCGGTCGCTGCCTTGAATGTCGCTGGTCGTCGGCGTCGGGAAGTGGGAAAGTGACGTGCGGCGCTGAGAACTCTGAGAAGTCGACCTAAAGTAGGAAAATTATGAAAAAATTGAAATTTGACTTAAATTATTGAGAACTGGCCTAATTTTGTTAATATTAATAATCTATATTTTAAATATTTTAATTTGTGTGTGTTAGTTATTTTCAATTAAAATTGAAAATGTGAAAAAAAAATTAAACGTATTTTTTTAGGATTAGAGATAACAGTTTCTATCCTTTTTATTTTAAAAATAACTAAACGTACCTTTATTATTTACATTTATTTAATTATTTTAAATTTTGTATTTATTTCAAATAAATAATCAGCAATTCTTTTAATTTGTTAAAAATGCAATCAATTATAAGAAGAAGAATGTTAAAAATAAACTTTTAATTTGTTTTTAATGTGAAATTGGGAGTTCGAAATTTATTTAAATTAATAACATTTATCAATTAAATTCATTTTTTAAAATATAAAAATAAAAAGTTCCAAGTAGTTACAACAAAATTTCCATCAAATTTGGCTAAGAGATAAGTTTGAATTTATTTTCAATTAAATTAAAATATATTGAATGAAACACAGTAAAATTTTAGCAGATCTTTAAAAAAAACATGAACGGTTTAAATTCTTACAAAAATTTTATAAATAAATTTTAAATTTGAGTAAAATTGAAACACACATAAACAATTTGCACATCTCTCTAACAATTGTGTTCAGTGTTCACAGTAAAAAAACAAAGGGGTACAAAAGTGAAACTCTTTATATATACTATAGTGATTAAGAAAATACACTAACTGCAGACCATTCTTTTAACTTTCTTTTGTATCACTTTTTGTTCTTCTTTTATCTTATCTTATTTATATAGTCGTACGTTGTTCTTTATTTTTGTTAAAATTATTTAATTTAAATGTTAATCTCTATATTATTTTTAGTGTTCTTGGGTGTCAAATTCAAAATTTGAGATTTTACTATTTGGAAGATCAGTGGAGTATATAATCAACACTAGAGATAAATATTTACAATTTTTTATTTTAGGATTTAACAAGTTTGTTCACTGTATTAATTCATGTATCTTTTTTTTAAATGTAGATTTTCAATCTTAGCACAAGATAAATTAGTAATGATTACAGATTTGATACAAAATTTTAACATATGATTTTATTTGATTATAAAAAAATCATGAATTAGACATAAAACCCTCTTTTATGAAAATTAAAAGGAATTTTTATATGTACAATGTGAAATCATGAAATGCTTGATTATGTTTATCAAGTATTATATCAATAAGAGGTTTAACATATTAATCCTCTAATAAATATTTTGGCTTGATTATTGTGCAGATATAAGATTTTTCTTTAAGTAAAATTTTACTTGCTTTTTCCTTATTCCTTTTTTAAAAAATCATCACAAAAAATAATTACTAATAGTTTCTATGTTGTTTAGAGCTTCGAAATTTATTGTAGTTTCTTTTTGTATAAGGTAATATTTACATTTAAAGGAGTAGCCAATGATATCAAGTTAATAAATAATATTTAAAAATTGAAATAATTATATAATGTAACAACAATGTGCAAGAATCGATTTTTATTTTGATAATATTAAAAGGTTATGCACATGACATTAAACAAAAATATTATTATTATTAGTAATGATAAATTTAAAGAAAACAAAACTTTTAATATTCCCTACTAAGTGATATATAGTCTAATATCAATGCACTTAGTAATTTTACAACAAGGTTAGAACAAAAGAATAAAAAATAATAATAAACAAATAAAATTAACTATTTGATTAGAAAATATATTTAAAAATGCCATGATACAAAGTATTAAAAAGTAAAATAGATAACAAAAAAAGGAAGAAAAAGAAAACATTGATAAAGGGATATTTAAAATACGTGGGTAAAATTTAAGAAAAGAAGAAGAAAAAGATCTAAAAAAAAAAACTAACCATCATCCCTAAAATCTCACCTATCTATGTAACTACCTTATCTCTTCAAACATAACTATATATTTTAATCTTCTTCCTGTACAATATGAAAGACAAAAGTGTCACGTAACAACATCACCAAAAAAAATATTTATTTGATTTAAAAAAAAAAATTAAATATTTCAAATCTGTATTTTGTAAAAGAAAAAACAAACAAAAAAAAGTATATCAACGTAAATGTTTTCAAATTATCATCTTTTAAAAAGAATAAATTAAAAATTAAAAATATTATAAATCCGTACTTTGCAAAATAGTACCACATGTAATCATCAAAATAATTCTTAAATTTTCAGTTTGAATATTTTTTTAAAATATGTATCTCCAAAAAATATATTTTAAATTCCATAAATAATTATGTAAGAATTTGTAACATAAAACTGTCAAAACAAAAACTCATAGTTATATATTATTATACAATATTTTTCAAAAAATTAAATTTATTGATAGAAAAATACAAAGAAATTACAAAACATCTAATGGACGTAGTCTACAATTTGATATTCAAGCGATTCAAACTGTATATGTTGATGCATAGCATTATCATATGATCATAAGACTTTTTTTAGTTATATTTTACTTTAATCTAACGACTAATTTTTTTAAAATGTTTATTATTCTAACAAGATGATAATATGAATAAGGTGAGAGTATTTATGATTTTGAATAATTTAAAAAATATATAAAATAAATGATGCTAAACATTATTCTTGTCAATTTTAGTTAATGAACAAAGCTTATATTGATATATTTACACAAATATTCTATTATAACATATGAAGATGCTAAATGTTAACATTCTTTCAAATAAACTTTACTATATTATCTTATAATAAGTTAAATTTGAAATTGTCAACAAATCAATATTTATGATTATATTTATCAATAAACCGCGCAACGCAGGGGTACGCATACTAGTTAATATAATATTAGTAAATATTATAATATAATGTATTTCGGTTATCGAAAAATACAAAATTCACGTACTGGAAACTAAATTGAAGTACCGAAAATACGAAAATATATATCGAAAACCAAAATACCGAAATCGAAATATCAAAAAAGTTAAGTTCGGTTTGGTTCGGTGTTTCAATTTTTTGGTATTTATGCCCAGCCCTAGGTACATCTTTTAACAGTTTGCACCCCATATTTTGTTTCATTTGCGAATTGCATCCTTCTTGTTTGTTTGGGAGAAAATGTCATAAATAGTCAATTTTCTATAGAAGTAGGTTTAAAATGGTTTCTTAACTATACACTTACCGAATTTAGTCTTTTAAGCAAAAACTTATTAGGTTTGGTCCCTTCGAAATATACACTAACCTATTTTAGTTCTTTAAGTATGCAAAAACTTATTAAGTTTGATCCTTTAATATACATTTATCAATTTTAGTCCTTTAAATATAGAAAATTTATCAGGTTTAAATTGTTGGCGTTAGGGTTCTTTGTATAAGAGTAGTTTAAAGAAAAAGTAACACGAAGAGAGAAACAACTGGGAAAAAATGAGTTAAAAAAATTATTTCATGAGGTATGAGTTCCGTTAATATAAACCTAAACATATTTGTATTAAAAAGGGACATAAGAACAAAATTGATTAGTTTTTGAATACTTAAAGAACTAAAAATCGATAAATGTATATTAAAGGACCAAACCTGATAAGTTTTTAAATACGTAAAGGACTAAAATTGGTAATGTATATTAAATAGATCAAACCTGATAAATTTTAAATACTTAAATAACTAAATTCGATAAGAATATAATTAAGGGGCCATTTTAGACCTACTCAACCCCTTAATTATGAAAAACTTCTTGCAAATATTGTCCAAAAGCATAGATTTCATGTTGGGAGGAGAATTATGTTATACAACTATACAAAAGGTCTTTATTGAAGATGTTTTACTCTTGAAATAGGACTAATGCATATCCTGAAAATGGTTTGGGCTTTTGAAAAAATGAAAACATAATACGTAAAACGATAGTTTTTTGAACCAAGTTGACATAAAAAATTTAGTTCATGCCCACTTAAAGCACAGGGAGATTCTCAAACTACAAAAGACGTCACACCAAGAACAAAGTCATGATACCATACCCCGGGAGGGTATTGAATCACAATCTCTTCTTATTAAATCCACGCACAAATTCACCAACACACAATAAAAATAACATATATTTACAATGCTACAATATACATCATCAATCTATGCCTTCAAAGCATAGGTTTTTTCTCTTAACTAGAGAAAACAAATGATTAATTAACGGACCTCGCCAATGTTGAAATGCTAAAATAGGCAATAATACAACTACTATAAACACTACGTAAAACACCATTTCACTATCCTTCAACACAAAATACAGAGCACAACCAAAACTCAACAGCATTGCTTCTACAGAGGCATACAACATGAGAAGTCCACATAATAGGCGCTTTGGGAACACGTACGAAAAATCTTCTTCTGCATAACGAGAAGTCAAAATAGAAACGAATGCAAATAAATAAATGCAGGAGGTGGAGAGGGATACTGTGTTGGAGAAGATAAATGCGATGAAAAATCCTTTTTTGAAAGAAATTGGAAGCGCGTTTTTGCAGTTTTTGATTTCTGGAAATGTAATTGATGCAGAAAATG